CAAGTACGGGGGGCGGTTGTGTCATCGTCTCACTTTTGATTTGCCAGTGGTAGACCGCGAGGGTAACTTTAACTGTGCGGAGACGAAAAGGAGGCGAAAATTTGATATCAAGTTCAAAGAGAACGTGCGCTGCAGAACACTGGGGAGCAATAGGGGTTGTATGAACTAGTCGACTTCACTTTAGTGACTTTTTATGCCTCTCATCGACTAGTCGCTGTTACGTGATAATAACCGGCAAGCTGCAGCCCTCGGAAAAGACAGCAGCCTGCTATCAGCAGGTGACAAGCTCCTGCGCTCGGGGGGCAACGCGCTGTGCCAGAGTGTCGGTACTGACACGCGATCATTCATGTCGGTTCATTTCCTTTAATGTTTTCTGTCATTTATTTGCGCCTGATGTGTTTCGCTGCTGTGGAGCGGGACGCATCACCGTGTCCTCCGGTGCACGATCACTGCTGCGGCCGGCAAGCAGCGAGCACTCCGCTGTTTTTGCAGTCGGTAGATCTGCGTCCTGAGCACGGCCACAGTAACATTATCAAATCAGGTGTCGCCACCTCAAAAACTAATTTAACGCACGATCATTCATGTCGGTTCATTTCCTTTAATGTTTTCTGTCTTTTGCGGTCGGTAGATCTTTTAGAACTGCAGTTCAAAGGTAACTCATAAGGTGAATATATATGAACCCAAGTAGCAGTTTCTCTTTAGGATTGAGAGGAGATGCAGGAAGATAATAAACAGGCAGGACAGAAAAATAGTCGAATAAAAACAAGTTAGTTTTTGTACCTGGTGGTTGCAACAAACAGACACCATTGAAGGTAATCAGAAGTGAGGAACAGAAAATGAAATAATTATTTTAATGTTTAGAGCAGCAGGAACTCCGAGAGTCTGCAGGCGCATCAGTGAGTTTGCGGCCGCTACGCAGGGGGAGGGGGAGCTGGCTGAAGCAGGGGGAGGGGGGAGAGGGCTGAAGCTGAAACTACCGTTGTTAAAAGAAATGTGTTTAACTTTGAAAATGTGGGCGCAATTTTAATTGTCAAAAACTCCAGCGAACCATTAGTTCATTTTGCTCAAATAGAAATAGAGGCCTGCCTCTAATTCTGGCCCTACTTCCAATAAAGGCCTGGAGCTTGATGAGCTTGAGTCAAATACAGGCCCGGGCCTGTATTAGAGGATTTACGGTATTTACATCAGTGGTACTCACGCCTGGTCCTGAAGAGCTGGTATCCATGTTTTAGTTTTACCTTTGCTTCAACACACCTGATTTCAATCAGCAGGTGATTAACAAGTTCTGAAGAGCTTGTTGAGCTGCTGCACAGGTGATTCAGCCACTGAATTAGGTGTGTTGGTGTAGAGAAACAAGGAAGACATGCTGGATACCGGCTCTCCATAAAACTACAAAATTACTATCGGTGTTGTCTACTTCCCTCTTTCCCATCTGATAAATCATTAATGGAAAAAGTTGATTTACAATTCATTAACATTTTAAGTTTGAAGAAGAAAAAGAAGAAGAAAATATCATTTCGAAAGCGCCTCTCAAGATAAAAATCACAAGGCACTTCACAAAAACAAAAACAAAAATAAAAAAAATGTAGAAATATAAAAAAGCATTTAGAAAATGTTTAAAAATGTATTTAAAATGAGCAAAAATAAGCAATTGCGATTTAAAAGAAAAAATGTTAAGAAAGAGAGAGTGAATAGGAAAGCGGGAAATCAGTGGATCCTGAGGAAGGTGGAATAGGTGGGGAGAGCAGAATAAAGAGAGAGGGGATGAAGAAGGTCATACAAAAGCCAGCTTGAACAAGTGAGTCTTCAGCTGCTTTTTAAAGGAGACCACTGAGTCCACTGATCTCAGGCTCAGGGGGAGAGAGGTCCAGAGTCTGGGGGCCACAGCAGCAAATGATCTGTCACCTTTGGTCTTTAGCCTGGTGCTGCACAACCAGTAGGCTTTGATCACTGGACCTCAGGGACCTGCTGGGGGTGTAGGGACTAAGAAGATCACCAATGTAAGATGGTGCTTGTCCATGTAAGGCCCTATAGACCAGAACCAGGATCTTGAAATGAACCCTGAAGTTGACTGGCAGCCAGTGAAGCTGCAGGAGAAGCGGGGTGATGTGGGTGTGTTTGGAGGACTTGGTCAGAAGCCGAGCACAGGCGTTCTGAACCACCTGTAGACAGAGGCGGAGCTGGCCTAAATGGCGCCCTGTGCGAGATCCCCCTGTGACACCCCCCCCCCCCGCCCACACACACACACACACACACACACACACAAGAAAAAACATTACACCTACAACTTTGTTTCAAATTGCGTGGAGTGTATTATATATAACAACGTTTGCTGACTGAATACAACATCCAGCTCCTGGCCACCTTCTCACCACTTGTCAAAGTTCTACTGAAATAGACACACTTAACGCAACATGATGGCATCATCGACTTGTACAGTACAGATGTGCTGAAAGGCGAGAGTCTCAACTTTCAGCTAAAAAAAGAACGCTCTAGCTATTATAGTTTTTATTTTATGGCAGTTTTCAGTTTAAACGGGATCATACTAGCAGGGCACCTCCAGCAGCCCGCTGCCGCTTCGTTTTTCATGGGGTAAATAATAGCTCATTTCCCGATTCCAAAAAGAAAGAATGGTCCTACCAGCTCGCCACTTCAATATGAAGAAGATCAGTTCAACATGGGGGAAAAAAAACCTGACCTGTAGGCCAGAGAAACGTTCATTAGCACATCAAGTTCGATTCAGTTTACCGGTAAACATATCACGAATGTACAACAGGTCAATTATTAATCATCTTGGCTACGTAGCTTAATCTATACATTCCAGTAGCGTTTGCTACAAACAAATACAAAAACAACAATAAAGGAAAGCAACTGTCTGACAGACAACATAGCCGAATTCAAGGCAACACATAACAATAATCATTCGATTGCTCTTGGTTTTAAGTTAAGCCCATTAAAGTGCTTAAGTAAATAAAAGTGTTTCAAAAACAGCGTTTTTGAACCGGAGTTCTGCTCGCGGTGGGAACTCCGCCGAACAAGGTCATTTTTTATAGCGAAAACGATCGACTGGTCACTGACAAGTAAAAGGGTGTTATTGGTAGATGTTAAGAACACTTACCGCTGAGGTAAAATGAGAGTATAAATGAATTGAGGGGAGAAAAACGCTTTGTTTTTAGCCCGGAAGTATTCCCCCACCGCCAGCTTTCATTGTTGCCGCGACGTGGAAGGAGCCAATCAGGAGAGGGACCTCACATCAGCTGACGTGGGTCATGTGACAGGGAGTAGTTGATATGGGTTACACTTTGTTGTGCTTTTATTACAGAAATAGTATTATTATCATCACTATTATTAAGAACATGCGATTTCTATGTTTTGTTTATGTATTGTTTGATGCTTAAAAAAAATTTTTTAGAAGAAAAAAAAAAAAAAGGAAATTAAATGCCGCCCCCTGCAGACTGCCGCCCTGTTCGGCCGCACATATTGCACATATCAAGCTCCGCCACTGCCTGTAGACGGTTCAGGGAGGTTCTGCTCAGACACGTGAAAAGAGAGTTACAGTAGTCTAAGCATGAGGAGATGAAGGTGTGGAGAACTGTCTCAAGTTCAGATGCATTTTTAAACAAAGATGAGGGTAAGATGTGGAGGGAGCATGCAGAGGTCTTCATAGACTTAACTAGTTTGGTTAACTCAGGCAAAAAAACAGGAGCAAAGCTATCTAGGATGATGGGCCTGGTTGGAGTCGGGAGAGGCAGCGATAAGGCTGAAGGAGAGATGCTAGATCTAACCTTATTGACTTTGTCCACAAAGAAAGACAGAAAGTTCTCACAGTCTGCAACAGAGTGGATGGAGGCTGTAGGAGAGGCAGGAGAGACGATGCTGCTGATGGTGTTAAACAGCACCTTGGGGTTCCCTTTGCTCTGGGACACCAGGTTGGAGAAATAGGAAATATGCTAAATATTTACATATGAATTGTTTTAGAGCCCTTTTATTGGCAGAATCTGATATTCAGTTCTTACAAAAAAATGGGTCCCAACGTGGTTTGTGTGGCGTTGCCATAGACGTCATTGGCACAGATCCCCTGTCCTCTTTTTTGGAAATGGAAATATGATCACCCTACATTAAACAAACTGTCCACCCGGGCTTTTGCGCTGCACAGAGACTGTTTGCTGCCTATGACTGAACGTCAGTTGAGAGTCAGTCTCATAGAGACTGACCAATGAAGAGAGGGCCTCAAGTTAAGACCCTCTCCTCATTGGTCAGTCCACACGAGGTGGGTCAAAGGTTACCCTGAGCGGGTTACGTGATGTCAGGCATTCAAGTATTGAGTATATCTACTGCATATTACATTAAAATATTCTGTATGTGACCACATTATGGTGATCCTTGGGTCATGATGATGGGGCCCTTGAATATTGTTGCCCAGGGCACAGCAAAGTGTTAATCTGGCCCTGTCCACATGGATCTTTTGTGCATGTCACCTAGTGTCGACTCGGATTTAGTTTTTAGACTTTTATCAACTTGTGTTTTTAAAACACCTTCAGTTTGGTAAAACTTTTAATAAAGTTTTAAAGTTTAAAGTTTTATATAGTTGATAATTTGTCTTTTAACTGTTAACCTTATAGTGGATTTTTCGTTTTGCATTATTTTAATAATGCTCGCCATCTGTTTGCTCTTGTTTTTAGAACCTTTTACAACAATTAAAACCATTTTAACTCCACTGTCGTATTTCTTATGTTACCCCCTCCTTCGCATTTTAACACCTCCTGTCGGGGACGTAATTTCGTCCTGATATTGCGATCTCATTGCTGCGCTGAGCTCCCCCTCTGTCACGTGACGCGTCTGAGGACGTTTCCACCTGATCTCATCAGGTCAGAAAAGAGGAATAAAAAGTTTCAGCCTGGAGCCGCAGCGGTGCGTAAAGTGAACCACACGAGCCTGCCAGGACAGACGCGTTTCACAACAATCGTCCCGTGACAAACAGCGCAGAGGGGGGAGTGCGGGGTCACGTGGCTCCGTTAAACCGGCTGGTTTTAAAGACCGAAGCTCCCCACAGCAGCTAGAAGCTCCCAGCTCAGCATCAGCAAGCAGAACACCTTCACCTGCCGCACCGGAGGATGGACAAGCGAGTGAACGGTAGCCTCCACCCGGAGGGAGAGACGGGACAGCCGGGCACAGGGGTAAGATACATACAAACTCCTGCTGCGTTTATTATTCCAGAAATATCAGGTTCTTTTCTTTCTTATAGCAACAATAATGCAGCTGCCAGCACAGAGACTTTTCTAGATGCCCCATAGAAGACCTAACAGCTGATGGGGTGAAAAATACAAACAATGACATCATCCACAAACTATTATTATTATTATTATCGTCTGAATTTCTGGTTTTGGGTACTTTTTTTTAAATTTACTAAAGCATAACCATCATTTGTGCTCCAGACATTGTTTTTGTTAAATTAGCAAGATTTCAAATGAACTCTGTGAGTTATCTAGATGTACTGTCTGCTTCTGCAGAGGTGTTTATTTATTTATTGTTTATGTGTTCGTAGCAGTAAAAGTCGTGGGTTAACCTCTACAGGTCAAACTGTTTAAAGTCTTTGAGCTCTTGTAGCCTTAAATATATAAATCTATAAGAATTTAAATTGATAACACTTTAGATTTACTCATTAAAAGTTATGTGTCTTTTTTTCCTGCAGAAGAGGAGAGGCTCATATCTGGAGGAGGAGACTAACAAGAAGTCGGAGGTGATTTCCTGCATCTTCTCCCTGAAGGAGGAGGTGGGAGCTTTGGCCAAGGCTCTGAAGCTGTTTGAGGTAAAAACTACCGCTGATCTGATCAAATAAAGTTCTGATAATTGATAAAGAGCCATAAAACTGGCTCTGAACACAACTTTAACCAAAAGACTCAGTTCATTTGCAAAAGCAGATATCTGGATCAAAATCAACAAACTTTTACTGATAATAATACAAAGATGCATTTTTAAAATGCACTAAAAGGATCATCATCTGTTTTTGTAAAACTCTTCACTTATTTTCCAAAAAGCTTCAAAGTGTTTATTTTATTTTAAAGTAGAAAATGAAATCCTCACATGTGAACTGATAATACGATCTATTATTTATGTTGCCTCTAACAGCTCCTTTTTATTTTAACTCTATAATAATAAAGTTACTTTGGCGACCCAAACGAGGAGCGGATGACGCACTCTCAGGCCACTCGTGTTTAGGTTACAGATTAACGTGTTGCTAAACACAACGGAGTTGCAACAGCTACACTTTCAACTGTGGTGGCGATAAAAAATCTTTTTTAATTGGCTCAGTTCATCCCAACAGCATCAGGGTCTATAAACTGACAAAACTGAGATGTTTGTGTCATTTTGTGCCTTTTGGGCAGAACTGATCTTACCTGGGATGTTTGGAGTGTAAACACAGCATGCTACCTCCAAGGTTTCTATAATAACAGAATAAAAACACGCTAAACAAAACTTCATTCTAGCCATTCACTCGTGGATTATGCAGGTTGAAGAGATTAACCATTTATTTGTACATAAAGATTAATAAAACCTGAAAATAACATGTAGAATTAGTTTTGTATAAAAGTTAACGACTACATTTTTTATTGGTTAATTGGGCATTTGATAAAAACACAGCAGAGGTGCTAATGAATGAGTCTTAATCCTACAATTCCCAGAGTGCATCTCTTTCACTGAACCCTCCCTTCTCTTTACAGCCAATACAGATTTTTAACTGTGAGAAATAAACATAATTAATGTGGCAGAAGGTCACGTTCTCCAAGTGCTTCTCCTGGACCTCTTCTGCAAAAGAAAAGAAGATACAATCCCATAATTTATGCCCTCAAATTCACCCAAGGGCAGAATTACACAATACAAAGAGACACCTGAGCACATGAAAATGATCGGTTTATCTTATAGTGAAGTTTAATATCCATTTATTTACCTTAATGTATGAAACATTAAACTTCGGAGGCATAAAATTCAAATTTGGAGCATCAAACGTAAATTATATGAACATCTAAAAGCAAATACTGACATTTACACCCACTGGAAAGTGTTGATAAAGGGCTTCATCTGCGGGAATAAATCTATAATTTAATGAAAACGGTTTAAATGTCTTCCTCTCTGTTCTGACGTGACACCATACTTTCAGATTGCCTGAACTAGATAGACCCAGTGAAAAGTAAAGATCATGTTTGACTGGTTGTTCACAAACTTCTAGTTCTGATGCTTAAAGTTCGAGGAGACCAAAGCAAGACTAAAATCCTGTAGATCTCTCTAAAGCCTCCTTTACTCTCCACCCTCTGTCCTTCGTGCAGAAGACTGAGCAGCCTCTAAGCGGAGGAACAGCTTCTTCCCTGAGGCGTTATGACTGATCTGGAGTTATTTCCTGGATACGTGTCATCCTCCCATGTCTCTGACATGTTGGTGTCCTTATTCAGGGGTGGAAACGTGATGTTTTGACACAGATCGATACCAAGTATTTGCCTAAATCTGCCCTCAGAGTGCAGCTGTAAACATCAGGGTCCTGGTTGAACCTATGAGCTCCCTCTGTGCTGATACTCCCCCTGCACCACCCCTGCCTCCACACCTCCTACTCCTGTCTTTTTAACTCTTCTAAAGAACGCACGAGTTTCCCAGGAACCACAAACACACCCCCGGCTGATTTAACAAGAGCCGATTCCTCTATAGAATACGTAAGTGCTTATAGTCTAATGAACGCAGCTTAAAGGAGAAAAATCTTCTAGGTTTTTCCAACTCTGTGAAGCCCATCATGTGTTTGCTCTCATGTCTAATCTGTTTCATTATGAAAGTCACACATCAAAGCTGCCACGCTGCTTATCCGACTCGGTGTGCATGTGACTCAGCAGCAGGGCTTTCTTGTGACGAGTCATGCCGGACACCGACCTCGAGCTGGGGCGACCCTAGCGCAGTTGTCAACAGCCTCACGGACTGCGGGACGGCTCTGACGGGTACAGAGCTCCGATGCTGGGGGTGGGAATTTTAAAACTTCATGAGCTGGCGAGGGCCTCAAACAGCAGAAAATGTTAAGTTTTTCATTTTGGTAAAAAAAAAAGGCAATTGCTGTTTTGTTTTTGACACAACTCATTTGTTTTTGATAAAAAAAAATTAAAAGGTCAGCGTCGTAAAGTTTAAAGAGCAAGTCACCCCCTACCAGAGTATTACTCCACTCCCACTTCATCAGGGTCCGAAATTAACACTCGCCACTCGCCAAATGCGAGCAAATTGCTCCATTTGGCGAGTAAATGTTTGAGCTCTATCTGCCACCTGGCGAGTAAATGTTTGCACCAAATTAGTTATGTTTATCAGTCATCTTCCATGGATGTCTGATACTCCTCCCGCCTGCATGCAACGTCCACAAACGTACGCGAAACGTGAGAGCCGCATCCAACGTCATTTCCACCTATGCCATTCAATCAGTTTATCAAGTTAGCCGTTAGCTTCGTGTTAAAACTAGCGGTGAAATGTGGCGGTTTTTAACTGGAGTCAGCCAGCCTTCCAAAAGAAAACTCGTCGAACTGGAAGAAAAACCACCAGGACCAGTGGCAACCAGAAGATTTTGTGAAAAGTGGCGAACCGGAGACGGCGGAGTCGTGAGACAATGGCTACATTATGATGGCCACGTAGTGTTGCTGCCCTTCACAGACAACTGTCCCTCGGCATTCTTCAAATATCCAATAAATGCCCATACTTCCGACTTTGTCTTCTTTGAGGGATAATAAATGTCCCGAGTGCCGTCTCCTCCTGCCATTATTTCAGCTTTAGCTTAAAGAAAGTTTTGGTCGTAAACAACAAAGTGCGCATGTGCCGCCGGCAACTTCAGCAGATGATACGGTGGCTGGTAAGGGTCACCGCGTCTACACCGCAGCCACGGTAATCCAATGAGATAATATATATATATTTTAAAAACAAGACGGTTATTATTATTGTCAACTTTTTTACCGGGGTTTACTGCTACACCGGTTACCATGACAACCCTAGCCCTGACACACTTTCAGATATTCTCATGGTGAAGCTGTGTTCTCCAGAGATCAAGGACTATGACCCAAATGAGGCTGTAATGCTTTGGCACAAAGACGGTGTCAGAAGCAGGAGGCCAGACTTCATGGACAGAGAAAACAAGGAGTCTGACTAGATTTCAATGAAAGAGTTCATAAAAACATCTCTATAAATAAATAAATAAATAGTAAAAGTGACAAAAGAGTTGTTTTTCTTATTAATTGATGTTTTAATTATTTTGTCACTCTGTTTGGAATCAACATAATATAGAATTACATGCTTTAGGTAGATCTAAATCATTTAGAATTTTGGCCGGTAAAAAATATGCTTGGCCGGTAGATTTTCATCATCTACCAGCCAACTTGACCGGTGAGTAAAAAATTTAATTTCAAACCCTGCACTTCATGTTTGAAAAATGCAACAAATGCAGTTGCCTAGCAGACCGAGAGGGCGGAGTCACTAACAAATACACACACACAGGCTCACAACGACATTGTGACATCATATGGTACCAGCTAACATTCTAGGGTCTCTCTTAAGCCTGGTTTATGCTTCTCCGTCAGCTCTGCAAGAGACAGACACGCACGGATTGACGGAAGCGTTTTGCTCTCATACTTCTCCGTCTCCTGGAGAGTGTTGCAAAGCAATTCCTCGCCAGGTCAACAGAGGGCGTAGCGCTGTTCTGTGGTATCCTGTCATGTATCGGTCCAAGATAGTGTGTTTATATTGTGTTTTTTGTGTATATAAGATACTTTTAACATGGATGTATTTGTCTCTCATTCTCCTCCACTTCATGCGCTCGCCACCTCTAAACCCACGTTTCCTGTCATTTCCGTCCACAAATAAAACGCTTGCTGCGCATCTTTTCACTCCTCCAGTCACGGGGAATTAAACGTTCATGCTTTTAGAGTTTTTTCGCGAGGTATTCTTCAAGCTTCTCCGTGTCTGCCGCTAGTTATCCTCGGCTCTCTTTGTTTTTGAAGGCGCAATGGCGGTGCTGTAAACAGCGGCGTCCTGACCAATCACAAGCTTGCCTAATCAGTCTCGTTCGACGGATGTTTAAAAAGAGAGCTCGACTCCGTACGTACTTGTGTGCCTGCCGGAGCCCTACGCAATGACGGGTAATGGCGTTGCGTGTCTCCGCACTGACGCAGACGGAGAAGCATAAATCAGGCTTTAGCCAATAACGATGGCAGATTTAAATTCAAATGCAGAGCAGAGTTTTTACCTGACAACGGCACAACACTGACAGTTTTAGGCAGAAAATCAAAATTTTAACTAAAATGCACTAAAGTGCAAAACTATTGACTACACGTGTCTGCAGCATGATTAGACACGCATTTATATAGTTTATCAGGGGAAAAAGTTGATTTGGGGGTGACTTGCTCTTTAATGTAACTGTTTTATTTTATGGGCTCTCTCTAGAACAGGAATCTGCCTCCTGCAGCTAGACTGGCTCTGGTTTTAAACAGCAAAACATCAGGTTTAGGCGGCTTTTATGTTTTTCATGGGATGATCAAATTTAAGTGCAATCACAGAAAGACACTAAAAGTTTGAGTAATCATTTTAGATCTTTCTTTTCCATCAATTTCCACAATTATCAGCTTCCCAAAGGAAAAAAAAAACACGTCTATTTCTTATTTTTTCCCCTAATTTAAACGCCTAATAATAAATAAAGGCGATTAAATACATCTCTTAGATATTTACACAGGAGGAAACAAAAATATTTTAGATTTTAGGCACAGAAAAATAAAATCCTGATTCTAATCTCAGAATTATCGCTTACTCTGACATTTCTGACCAAAACACAAACCTTTATTTCTCACCGTCTTTTTTTCTTCCTGTAACAGTTGTGGCTCTAAACAAGTTTTATTGTGGTGGACTGAGGGGAAAAATGTCTCTTTGGATTGTAAAGCTTACAGATTTCTCTTCTGCAACAAAATTAAATAATGTAAACAGTAATAAATCTGTGGAAAATAATTCGATGGCATTCTTTCATATAGTAAGTTTCTGAGATGCTGACTCATCCCTGGTCATGTTGAACCTAAAAGGCCCAATAAAGCACCCATAAATGTAGAATAGGATCCAGATGGGTGAAAACAGGAGGCCCTCACTTACGCCCTCCACTTTATCGAGCCTATAGCAGACCGAGAACAACACACTCCCTCTCCCTCCCCAAAATTACATAAACAAGAAAACATTTTGACCACACACACACATACACACACACACACACACACACACACACACACACAAAACTGCCTTCACACGTGTGATAGGTTCCTCGCACGTCAGCCATTAGTAAAGACTTGCAAATTGCTACCAGAACCATCTGGGAACTCTGTGATTTGGGGGTTTCAGTTGGAAAGTGAAACATCTGGATGCTTGAGTGATTTATTTAAGAATCAGTGGTTCTGAGTGCAGTCGTTTGTCCAGTAAGGCTATGTATGACCTCAGGTCCTGATGGACGCCTCACAGGTTGATCAATAATGGAATACTGCCATCTAGTGGTAGAGGAGAAGCTGTGGTGCAGCTTTAACTGAAATTCTTGTTTTAAAAGCTTCTCCAAATCTGCTCATATACTGACTCATAATGCAGAAATTCTTAAGATTAAGGATGAGTCTAAACTTTTAAACACTTTTCTTATCTTTCAGGACTGTGTTGAACAAATACTTCCGGTTTAATCCTCTGAAAGACGTCTAGAAAGCTGGGAAAACAATGTTTTTTTTTATTGCTAAAAGTCAAAAAGCAAAAATGAGGCACAATTTTCACAACCTCTACTTCTGTTCCCAATCGCTTGACTCAATTTATCACTACTTAAGATTTCCCTCTCGTATTAGAACTGTGATTTTCCTCCTTTACACTCTGATGTCAATTTCACATTGCCTTGCTGTCAAAACACAGCACACAATTTTCAGGTTTACACACACTTCTCACATCAATTCTCAAAGTTTCAATCAACAACACACAAATATTCAAATCTCTAAACTTTCAAGTCTGGCGAGCAATTTGTAATCAGGGACTGCAGCATAAAAGGAGGCTTGACGCTCTGTTTTGTTTGATGAGCAATGGAGACAACAGAGAAGGAGAGGGGTGCATACGGGAGGAGGAGGAGGAGGAGGAGAAAGAGGCGCCAGGGAAGAAATGTGATTGGCCAGCGGGCCATAATCAAGGTCCCAGGCCTGCGTGGTGGCAACGTCACTGTGTGTGCGGCCATGAACCACCATGGCATCCTACAACGACATGCCCACCTAGGGGCATACAACGCAGCCCTGCTACTGGAATTCCTAAACGGCCTGTATGATGCGCTTGTTCAACCTGATGACCTAGATCGGGGATTCCCAAAGTGTGGTGCGTGCACCCCTGGGGGTGAGCGAGCTACCGCTAGGGGGTGAGCGAGCTGCCGCTAGGGGGTGCGCGAGGTGAAAAGTGTAATGGCTGTGGAGCTCAGAGAAGTCTGTCAAAAGTCACCATTAGCGTAGCCAGAAACTCATTTGTAGGTGGGCCTAAGAAAATGTTAGTGGGCCCAATAAATGTCATTGAAAACAAGTATATTTTGCTTGTGTGTGTGTGTGTGTGTGCGTGTGTCCTCTTCACATGGCCTAGCTCAGGGGTCGGCAATCCGCGGCTCTGGAGCCGCATGCATCTCTTCCATCCATCTGATGCGGCTCTCTGTGCTTGTAAAATAATGAATGGATATTTAAATAAAATCCTTTATATTTTACTGCATTAATTTTACATCTGTAAGCTAATTCTAAATGTAAAGATTGTCTGCGTAAACCTGAACAGGTCCAACCTGGTCTTACTGTGAGACCGGGTTGATGCGTCGCGCTTGTGCGTAATCATAGGCGCTTTCTGAGCTGAAGACGATGTGAGATTTTGGGACTCTCCTCAGACGCCACATTGGAGACAGGAACAAGCACAATTCAGCCAAAGTTTCATCATCAGGGAACATTTTCTAAGTGACAGGTCTCTCTGAGAGACCGGGTTTGGAAAACTCGCTTCAGTGGAAGGAATCTTCCTGCATGCGCTCTGGTTCTGCAACGCGTTCCAAGCCCCTCTCCACATCTTCAGCTCGCTGTGCACCTTATGTACGCGCTGACAGTGAGCTGCGCTGAGCAGTGTCCAGCTCAGATGTTCAGATGGGAATCTTTTCTTGAGTGATTTAGCTACATCTGCGATTTGCGAAACGAATAAAGTGTCAGTTCGTCTGCATGCGTCGGGGTAATTCTTTCTATTCTTTCTCCGTCAAATTAAACGGTCAAATACGGGAACTGTCCGGTCAACACAAGCCCTGCTTTTGACTGTTTTGTTTTCTTGTGAAAATTGTTGCAAAGAGATATAATTTAACTTAACACCAGAGCCAGGCGCACTGCGCCGTTATCTCCGTCACTGTAAATGAGGGAAAAACAAAATGATCGGATCCTTTTCTGACCTTCCCCACCTACAAAGTTTAATTACAACAATCAAACGTGACAGAGCCTGGATTTGTATTCTGAACAGTCTAAACATGTTTTAAAAAGAAACGTATGACAAAAGTGGCACCTGCTCAGTAAAACCACCACCAGGGTGAAAAATATCAAAATATTGTCGGCAGAGACGGGCTACAACTTCTGGATCCACTTTATATAAATCGTTTTATTGATTATCTTTTTAAGAAAGATAGCTTTGACGTACACGAGCGACCGGTATCGGCTGCTGTCACCTGTTGTGAGCAGCGCTCTGCTGTCTGAGGGTAGGCCCCGCCCACAACGCCGCGGCTTCTGTGAATCCCAGTGTTTACTGTGGGAAACGAGAAATAATGGCTCTTTGATGGGAACAGGTTGCCGACCCCTGGTTTAGCATGAAGTCTGAGATATATATATATATATATATATATATATATATATATATATATATATATATATATATATATATATATATATATATATATATATAGCCATGCCCTGATGTGGGGCTGGGGGGGGGTGTCAACGTGGTCGGGACATAGAAGGGGGTGCGCGGCTAAATAAGTTTGGGAACCACTGACCTAGATAAACCACAGCGGGTCAACTTTATAATCATTTGGGACAATGTAAGTTTCCACAAGGCTGTCCAGGTGCATGAGTGGTTTCAGGACCACACACGGTTTTCCGTATTATACCTTCTACCTTATTCCCCCTTCCTCAATCCCACTGAGGAGTTTTTCTCAGCCTGGAGGTGGAAGGTGTACGAAAGGGATCCACAGAGCAAGGTCCCACTGCTTCAAGCCATGGAGGAGGCTTGTAGAGATGTGGGCTTTGAGGCCTGTCAGGGCTTCATGAGGCACTCGAGGTGGTACGTCCAGCGCTGTTTGGACCAGGACATCGCCTGCAATGTTGACGAGGCCCTCTGGCCAGACAGAGACTAGAGGCATGATGCCCCATGATTATGCTTGATTTTGGTGGGGGGTTGGGCTGGGGGGTGGGGGTAAAAATAAAATATTTTGTCTCAAAATTTGTGTGATGTCTAATGTTTGTCTATGAGAGAAGTGGGCATTGTAATAGATTCAGTGTATTGCATTTCTCTAATTGTATTTTCAGTTTAGCTCTTCAGTGTTCTTTCCATGCTTGGTGGTGTTGTGTTTATTCAATGAATGGTATGTGTGTGTCATGTGAAAATATGGCTGTGTTTACCAAATGAAAACACGCGTTTCATTTTGTGAATATGTTACGAGATTTGATGGCAGAGTTTTTTTGCAAAGGGATGCCAAGAGTTTAGCAATTTGTGTGTGATATTTGGGGTTTTGTGTGTGCAGTTTCGAAAGAAACGTACAGTTTTGAAAAACGCATTTTAGCAATAAAAAAAACTGTAATACTTCAAAAGTCAGTTTTGATGCTTGAAAACAAAACAAGAATAAACCATGAAGAGGTTTCGGAAAGTAGCAGAGTGATTTTAAGCAGACATTAGAAATGTTCATGCCTTTCTCTTTTAGGAGAATGGGATCAACCTGACGCACATCGAGTCCCGTCCGTCACGGATGAACAAAGAAGAGTACGAGTTCTTCATCAGCGTGGACCCCAGCTGTGCTCAGGCTCTGGATGAAGTCATCGAAGGCCTGCGTACTCAAATCAGCGGCCACGTGCACGAGCTTTCACGCAACAAACAGAAGGACACGGGTTAGTGCGTGTGTGCTTATCCTCTGAAGACAGAAAGTAGGCCCGTCTAAACATGAAACACGAGTCGTGTTATTTTATTCTAACTCGGAGCTGATCTGAAGTACGTAAAGGTGGCAGAATGAGGGCAAAACACAAACATAAATACATCTTAATTACCTTCACTTATGATCCCCACACATTCAATGATGTAGAGTCCAACTTTATTTTTCATAGCAATGTTGCCTTGCAGCGAGGTTGCTGGTTCAGATTCCACCTGCAGCTTTCCTGTGTGGAGCTTGTACTCATTTAAAGGAAACTCTGGTTCGCTCCCAATGACCAAAAACATGCATGTTAGGTTAAAGTGACACTCTAAATTGTCCCTAAGTGTGAGTGAGTATATGATTGGTTGCAAGTCCCTGTGACGGACTGGAGACCTGTCCAGGGTGTCCCCACTTCTCGCCTGATGAGTGCTGGAGTTAGACACTTGTTCCATTTGTGAGAATAAGTGGTTCAGATAATGATAATGTGTGTATAGTGTCATGGTTTTTATTCAAATCCCCAGTAAACAGCACAACTCTGCCATCAGCTGACGTAAATAGTAACTGCAGTCTTAAAATGTGAACACTTCATTTTAGGCTCTACGTAAACATCAAAGCTCCTAAAAGAACTCCGCGCATTCAAAAAGTCTTATGTGATCAGAGTTTCTGAAGTAGATTATTCACACCCCTAAAGCCCGGATCACACTGTGCGATTTTTGGCCGTCGCACAGGATGGTTCATGCCACACTGAGAACTCCAGAGAGGTGGCACACCGTACGACAAAAGATTTCAGTGAGGCAGACTGCACGACGCCTCTCTCCAGCAGGACACGCTACGTCATGAGTGCACCTCCCAAAGCATACGTCACTAAGCAGACTGCTAACCAAAACAAAGCTGAAAAGATAAAAACACTCCCTTTTAGTGTCAACTCATGACCCAACCAATCAACTTGAGTGGGGGGCAGCCCACTCAAGTTGATTGGTCCCAGTCACGTGACCCGATGCTGTGCTTGAACCATTCAACAAACACTCAGATTAGTACCTACATGGAGTAGATAGCTGCTTCTCTAATTCTTGCAACTTTTTACATTAATAATTTTATCAGAGTGTTTTATTAGTTCTTATATTTGCTAATCTCTTAATTAATTTTTTTTTCTATCTTACCTTCTGCACCAAAATACCGCAGCAATTTCCTAATGTTGTGACTTGGCACACAAATGGCAATAAAAAAAAACTTCAAAACTTAAAAAAAAAAAAAAAACTTCAACTCATCTTCCTCCAAGAAGCTTCGTTTTTAAAACCCTCGCTTTGGCGCCAGACTCCAGCTTCGGGTTTCCTTTCCCGTTTTCCGGGTAAACCGCTGATCTTTCAGCTGGACATTCATCCTTTTCATCCTCCTTTATACATAAAAACCCACTAAGGTACAGAGAGGTAACAATCTGTCACAGATCGCTGCAATATCTAAACTTTCGCCGTGAATTCTGTCTCCCAGCTCCGCTCCGTGGGACCGCTCACACCCGCTGTCTTCCTCTGTCCCTCTGCAGTAAAACGCCACTGAACCATCCTTATCGGTTGAATATGTGAGATTTCCACTAACAGCAAAGGGATCTCATGTTTTTATGTTCGTGAGCACATTTTCTCTCACACTCGTACAGATCACAGAATCAAGGTTTTCACAATTCAGCTGATGGTCTAAAAATGAAGTTTAACTATTTTTAGTATCACTCCGGTTTAACTTGGTCTATTAACAAAAATAAAATCTGGTGTGTAGTTACATAAGTATTGCTGCTGCAACATCACAAAGGTGTGTTTTCATTGGTCGGTTGCAGACAGCAGTCGTAGGTTTTCAAGCGTGCTTGTAGACTGTCGGAGGCTGATTTGGGTCGTGGAACGGCTCAAAAAGCAGTCGCAGAACCGGTCACATTCGACGATAACAGATTTGCAAATCACCCTCACATTCACCGTTTTTACACGATTACGCTCTCGACGAGGGATTTGGCTAAGGCGGCTGCAAATCGCACAGTGTGATCGGGGCTTAACCCGTACAAAAACAGCCTACTGGGATGCAAATCCATCATAGCGCAAACACTGTCTTCAGATGAGCTGCAACCCCGGCATCCTTGGTGTCGTTTCTGCTACAGAGAACCCAACTCATTAACTCACCAGGTTAAATAACTTTGATATCAATGGGGTACAAATTTTTCATGATTATAATTTTTCTCCATAAATCAGAAGCCCGATGGGTGGTGTAGGGGGACTTTCGGCCCTCGGACTTACGGCCCTCGCCTCTGGAACAGGCTGCCGGAGGATCTCAGGGCCGCAGAGAACGTTCATGTTTTTAAGAACAGGCTCAAGACCCGCCTTTTTTATTTTAGCTTTTAACTGATTACCGTTTATTGCATTGCTTGTTTTACTTATTTATTTTAATTACTGTTATGTTACACATTTATGTTTTATTTCTATAATCACATTTTATTGGATATTTTACTATCCGTATTAGCTCTTGTTATTTTACATGTCACATATTTTAATTCTTCCAGTGTTTCCTCTGTGGAGCCCTCTGCCTCGGGACCGGTGGTCGGTGGCGGCAGCTGGGGTGCTGGGGTAGTGCCCAGGTATTGGTGGGGGTTGCCACCCTCCCTCCCAGGGCGCCCTGGATTGGCGTCTTGGCTGCTGCCGTGGATCCGCTGCTGTCGAGGCAGATGGCTCCCTTGATGGCGCGTCTTTCATTACCTGTCCAATCTGAGCTCAGCCTAGTGTTTACTTTGGTCTTTTAATGTGTTATGTGCATGTGTGATGTGTATGTGTGTGTGTGTGTGCGTGCGCGCGCGCCTGGGAATGGCTTGTGGATTGGGGGGTAAAACTGTCATAATTGTTTTAAGTGTGGGAAAGGGAGGGAATGTGGGTTATATGGGTCGTTTTAATCTGTTAAGCACTTTGTGTTGCTTGCTGTGCATGAAAAGCGCTATATAAATAAAGTTTGAGTTTGATTTGATTCAGCCCAGGAAGCAGAAGCTTCTTATTTAGCCCAAAAACACAACAGTGGTGAGAGTATTGGGCTCAACACACGGGAGGCGACAAACGACCGCGATCAGCGAAATCTGTCGCCGTCGCTTTTATTACCAGACACACGGGAGGCGATCCGCGGCAGCGGCCAGTGGCAAAGCCGTCTACGCGTTCTGTTAAATGGCGAAATTGAAACTTCCGTTGTTTTGTTTGGCTGTGTCAGGTTGGAGGGAATTAAGGTTATTTAAGCGGTTCAGAGTTAATAAAGCGGTAGATATGATGTTTCACAAGGTGCTGCTAGAGGTATGTGAAATCTTACTTCTGATTTTACTTTATAAAACAATAATAATAATCAACTTCTCCTTCATGTTTGCTCGGAGATGTACGGAGCATCCTGTCCGCTCATTGGTCAGTGAATGAAACCTCCGTTGATTGGTCCTCATCCGAGCGACAGCGATGAAAAGTTGAAAATATTTCAACTTTCTGGGATCGCGTCGCTGGGTCGCCTGTGCACGACACGTGCACGAGCGCAAAATTTCACACGCACGTTTTTCGCGTTTCGCTTAGTAGGAGGGAGACTCGCGATTATCGCTTTGTCGCGCATGTCTCATTGAAAATGAATGGAGGAGAGGCGATGTCGCCTCCCGTGTGTCGAGCCCATAAAGAGGATTTCTGGCTTCATTTTTAGAAAGTGATGAAGACAAAACTGATGCAGCATCTCCAGTCCATCAGATTTAAAACAGGATCAAGAAACTTTCATTGTTCTCGAGCATGAATGTCCATCAAAAGCTAGCATCTTCACACCCACACAGCTAGCAGGGCTCAGAGAAATCTAATAAAACTGGCACCATTAATGCTGAAACGTCCCATTTATCATTAGAGGGTAGTTCTGGGTGTTGGGCTGCAGCCAGACTCCATAACAGACAGCGTCGCCAACAAGACTGGTGTTCTCTCGCCTGCATTTGGACCTCTTTATTAGTTGTTTCCAGAAAGGCATTAGTTTAGCTACTGAGGACCAACAGGCCTGGTAGGAACAGAAGCCGTCTGTGTCTCATCCCCAGAATAACAGGCAGGGGAGACATGCCAAGGTCATTGTGATTTCAGACAGACAGGGCCACCAAGGATCCTACTCTGGGTTCCAAAGACGTCTGGGTCGACTGGTCAGGGTCAAGTGGACAAGCGGATACTTGCAGCCCATTTTGGAGACAGCCTATTTGTAGAGGAGACAACTTCAGAGTCTGTTGTCCTGGTGGGGCCCCAGGCTAGACCACACTGCATAAATGTAGATTAATGACCAGACTTCAGTGTCTTCTGTGTCATAAATCCATTCAAGCAGTGCACTGAGCACTGAGCCATGCCAAGCTAGTCCAATTCTACATGATCTATTTCAATTTAAGGATTTAAATCAGAGAGGAAGTAGAAATAATTAATCCTGCAGCAGATAATTCAAGCTAAACATGTCTCCTTTGTTTGTCTCACTGAAAGCTCAATGAAAGCTCAAAGGCCACCGCCTCATTCAAATGAGGTCTTATTTAGGATTTTTCTTTGCAACGTAAATAAATGTCACTATTTTTCAGTGCCGTGGTTCCCTAAGGACATCCAGGACTTGGACCGCTTTGCCAATCAGATTCTCAGTTATGGTTCAGAGCTGGATGCTGATCATCCAGTAAGTTCTGACTCATCCATCATCTTGTGTTTACCACATCCTTGTGTGTGTGTGTGTGTGTGTGTGTGTGTGTGTGTGTGTGTGTGTGTGTGTGTGTGTGTGTGTGTGTGTGTGTGTGTGTGTGTGTGAATACATTCACGCCCACGTCTCATCAAAAGCAGAGCTGCAAAGATGACAGGGCTCACTCTCATCTTTTCTAATGGAAAGTGTGTAGACACAGAAATTGATGTCATTGCTTTGAGACCCTGTAATTATAGATAATTGCTCCCTTTTGCCACCATCATTAAAGCAAAATGAATTCATCATAAACTGAAAAACACTGCACAAAGGCTTAATTTGCATTTGCATGTGCACGCTCTTGTAAGAGACAGAGTGCACAAGGCTGTCAAAGGCCACGAGGTTTAGACTCCGCACAGGATTTCCTCTCTTTGATTGGGCTGAGCTCTAATGTGGCCTTTCTTCATGTGTGTGCTCAGGGCTTCACAGATCCCGTGTACAGATCCCGCAGGAAGGAGTTTGCTGACATCGCCTACAACTACAGACAGTAATGATTCCTTAACTAAGATCAATCCAGAACTGTGTGGTGGGGTTATAGCTCGATTAACAATAAATGTTATTCACCATAAACATGATCACAAAGCCAACCCCCGGCTTTAAACAATATTCGGGAAAAAAACAGCTTTTAGAAAACTACTAATGTGCAACAGTAAAATAGAAGAGCAAGCCAATAGATTTGGATTAGTAAAACATTCATTTAAAAATTCCTTGGAATTTCTAGTTATTCTTAATGTACTTATTTAAAAAATATTAGTTTTCCCAAATACCAAACAAATAAACATGAATATGTGTGCTGCTGTTTATACAAACTAATGCAACTTTGTCTCCATCCCAGTGGTCAAGCTATTCCCAGGGTGGAGTACACAGAAGAGGAAAAGGCTACATGGGGCACAGTCTTCAAGGAACTAAAGACCCTGTACCCGACTCATGCCTGTCGTGAACACAACCGGGTCTTCCCCCTGCTGGAGAAATACTGTGGCTATAGGCCAGATAATATTCCACAGCTGGAGGACGTCTCCCGCTTCCTCCAGTGTAAGTCTTAATGTGATGAGGGTACCTTCACTTCATCCATCTGTCTGTTTATCAGGGTCCAGGTTCAGGGGTGGCAGCCCCAGCAGGGCCGCTAAAACCGTCCTTTCTCCAGCAAACTCCATCAGCTCCACTGGCGGAACCCCCGGGTGTTCCTTGACTATCATGAAGACATAATACCTCCGACTTGTCCTGGGTTACACAGGGGCATCCTAGCTGGACACGCCTCCCCAGGGAGGTGTTAAGGAGGCAGTCTGACCAAATGCCTGAGCTAACTTAGCTGGCTTCTTTACCAGAAGTCCAAGTTCCCTACTCTATCTTCAAGGCTGAGTCCATCCACCATGAAGAGGAAACCTATTGGCCGTTTTGCCCCTCCACCTCTCAACCAGAGCAACTCCAGCACAGCTGAGAGTCAGACCCCTCTCAAGGACCAAACCGAACCCATTTGAGTCATGCTGTCCTGATCTGCCACCTGATCCACACTGCACAAGACACTTCATGGCTGCACAGGTGGACAAGCACAAAAAAACAGTTTGGGACGGTCCTAGCTGGGTCCAGTGGTGAAAGGTACCGACGAGGCGCTCGCACACGGGCCACGGTCAGACCCTGGTAGCCCTCTAAGCTGGGTGCTCTTGTTTACACACATGAAAGGTCATTTGAACATTTCTCAGCATCACCCTTGTCAAATGACAAATGGTAAATGGCCTGCATTTGATATAGCACCTTCTAGAGTCCTGGAACCCCCCAAGGCGCTTTACAACAGTCATTCACCCATTCACACACACGTTCACACACTGGAGGGGATGAGCTACGATGTAGCCACAGCTGCCCTGGGGCGCACTGACAGAGGTGAGGCTGCCGAGCACGGGCGCCACCGGTCCCTCCGACCACCACCAGCAGGCAAGGTGGGTTAAGTGTCTTGCCCAAGGACACAACGATAGCAAAAGACTGAGCGGGGCTCGAACCTGCAACCTTCCGATTACAGGGCGAGCACTTAACCGTTGCCCGCAAATTTGCTATGGGAGCATCGACATATAAATATTGGACAATGGGTTTCCATAGGCTCCAATAACACATTTTTGAGGCTATATGGGAGGTGGCCAGTCCACCACCGCCATTTTGACCGTGTCACAGGTTCCGTTAAGCCCAGACAATTCCACAAAAGAGAAGAGAGGTGGAGCTGGGGGTGTGGCTGTAAGGCTGGGATCAACTGACGACACCCGGTCGAACCAGCTACAAGCTAACCTGAAGCTAACCCAAAGCTAACGCGGAGGTGGGAGCTAAGCTAACGGAGGTAGCAACCTAGCTACAACAGGAGTTAACTGTGCACAACACCAGAGCTTCTGAGTCAGAGATACGCCGGGCTGACCGCTGGGTAAAACCGGGTGGAACACAGAGGTCTCCCGAAAGCTGCTGAAAGCCGGCAGCCCGCGCAGCAGACAGAAGCCGCGATCAGACAGCGATGCGCCGAGCTGCGGGGAGGGGAGAACCACAAGCCGGCCGGCAGCCCGCGCAGCAGACAGAAGCCGCGATAAGACAGATGCGCCGAGCTGCGGGGAGGGGAGAAATGGGTGGAAAACATCGGTCTCCCGAGAGCTCCACAAGCCGATATTCGGAACCCAGCTCCACCAACATGTTACATTTCAACCCATTTTCTAAAGTGCAGCATTATGTTAAATGCACTGGGTTTTACCCTATTACATTTAAATTTCATGGTTAAACAGTACATGTTAAAATCTAAGCTCAGCTCGGCAGTGACCTAAAATACATAAATATAATTTTACTTACCGAAAAAAATGAAGTGGAGACTCCTTGGACGCTCTATTAGTGCAATTAATGCCACAGCAAGTCATTTTGTCCAACAATTGCACAAAAATATCCAAAAAAGAATACACAAACACAGAGACTCAAAATCCCGGAACAGTTTCCAAGCCAGACTGAGGCCTTTCCACGGAGCTAGCTCTGCGGTCACGTGGGTCTGATGCTCATTAATTATACAGAATTTTAGGCTTTTAATGTACTTAAACAGAAGAATGAGAAAAAAAATTCACCCCTCTGAAGAGTTGTCATGAGTGTAAACTAGATCATTTAAACCAAAAACATATTTTGGTACCAGGCTGTAAACATGCTTATTTCTGCTGTGAAATTGGTAGTTTTAACGTGGGAGTCAATGAGGATTTGCTCGCTTCTGACACCAGCCCCTAGTGGATGACGGTGGAACTGCAATTTTTGGTACTTCCGGGTTGGCCTCAATTTTTGAGCCGCATTGTGGGGGCTTGTATGGGAGACCATACCAGGGGTAAAATGGCCTCTGACAACATAGCTCCATTGATCATAGGTCATTCAAACTCTTCCACTACAAAAAGATTAACGTTCAAGGAGAGAGACCCGATTTCTCAAGAAAGCCCACAACATTCTAAAAGACTCATCACATCCTAGACACTCCCTGTTTGAACTGTTGCCTTCAGGCAGAAGGTACAGAGCAATAAGGGCTGGGATAAACACTCAAAGCACCAGACTAAATGCTGCTAGAAATTATTGGATCTTGTTCAATTCTGTTGAGTATGTGTGCTTTTGTGTTTTATTATTGTGTTTAGGTATTTATCATATGTTTTTATTATTCATTTTTAACATACTTTATTAGTAGTATAATGTTAGTAAATAGATGTTCCACCGACTGTAGAGCACTTCATTTTCATTGTACTTTATGGCAATGACAACTAAAGGAGAACTGAACTGAAGTACTTCAGGTGTGAGACATAGTCGCTCCACCGTGTCCTGGGTCTACCTTTAGGTCTCCTCCCGGTTGGACGTGCCTGGAAAACCTCACCAGGGAGGCGTCCAGGAGGCATCCTGATCAGATGCCCGAACCACCTCAACTGGCTCCTCTTGATGTGGAGGAGCAGCGAATCTACTCCGAGCCCCTCCCAATGACCCAGCATCTCACCCTATCTCTAAAGGAGAGCCCAGCCACTCTTCGGAAAAAAATCGTTTCGGCCGCTTGTATCCGCGATCTCGTTCTTTCGGTTACTACCCAAAGCTCATGACCATAGGTGAGGGTAGGAGCGTAGATCGACCGGTAAATCGAGAGCTTCGCCTTCTGACTCCGCTCTCTCGTCACCGCGACAGACCGGTACAACGCCCGCATCACTGAAGATGCAGCACCAATCCGCCTATTGATCTCACGCTCCAGTTTTCCCTCACTTGTGAACAAGACCCCAAGATACTTAAACTCCTCCACTTGGGGCAGGACCTCATCCCTGACCCGGAGAAGGCATTCTACCCTTTTCCGAATCAAGACTATGGCCTCAGATTTAGAGGAGCTGATTCTCATCCCAGCTGCTTCACACTCGGCTGCGAACCGCTCCAGCGAAAGCTGAAGATCACGTTCTGATGAAGCCAACAGGACTACATCATCCTCAATAAGCAGAGACCTGATCCTCAGGCCACCAAAACGAATGCCCTCTACACCTTGGCTGCACCTAGAAATCCTGTCCATAAAGGTTATGAACAGAATCGGTGACAAAGGGCAGCCTTGGCAGAGTCCGACTCTCACTGGGAATGAGCCCGACTTACTGCCAGCAATGCGGACCAAGCTCTGACACCGGTCATACAGGGACCTACCAGCCCGTATCAGAGGGCCTGGTACACCATTCTCCCAGAGTACCCCCCACAGGGCACTCCGAGGGACGTGGTCAAACGCCTTCTCTAAATCCATAAAACACATGTAGACTGGTTGGGCAAATTCCCATGCACCCTCCAGGATCCCCCTAAGGGTATAGAGCTGGTCCAGTGTTCCACGGCCAGGACGAAAACCACATTGCTCCTCCTGAATTTGAGGTTCAACAATCCGATGGACCCTCCTCTCCAGAACCCCTGAATAGACCTTACAAGGAAGGCTCAGGAGTGTGATCCCCCTGTAGTTGGAACACACCCTGCGGTCCACCTTTATAAATAAGGGGACCACCACCCTGGTCTGCCAGCCCAGTGGGACTGGCCCTGATGTCCACGCGATATTGCAGAGCCGCATCAACCAACACAGCCCCACAACATCCAGAGCCTTAAGGAACTCCGGGCGGATCTCATCCATCCCCGGAGCCTTGCCACAGAGGAGCTTTTTAACCACCTCAGTGACCTCAGCACCAGAGATTTGAGAGGCCAACCTAAAGTCCCCAGACTCTGCTTCCTCACTGGGAGATGTGTCAGTGGGATTGAGGAGGTCTTCGAAGTATTCTGCCCAGCGATCCACAACATCCTGAGTAGAGGTCAGCAGCGCAACGTCCCCACTATAGATAATGTTGGTAATGCACTGCTTTTCCCCCCTGAGGCGCCATATGATGGACCAGAATCTCTTCGAAGCCGTATGGAAGTCTTGCTCCATGGTCTCACCGAACTCCTCCCATATCAGAGTTTTTGCCTTGGCGACCACCCCAGCCACGTTCCGCTTGGACTGCCGGCACCCATCAGCTGCCTCTGAAGTCCCACAGGCCAAAAAGACCTGATAGGACTCTTTCTTCAGCTTGACAGCATCCCTAACCGCTGGTGTCCACCAGCGGGTTCGGGGGTTGCCACCACGATAGGCACAGACGATCCTGCGACCACAGCTCCGGTCGGCCACCTCAACAATGGAGGCAAGGAACAGGGTCCATTCAGACTCAATGTCCCCCGCCTCCCCCGGAACATTTTGGAAGTTCTGTTGGAGGTGGGAATTGAAGCTCCTTCTGACAGGAGACTCTGCCAGACGTTCCCTGCAGACCCTTGTAAAGAATGGGAGTGAATGTTTCGCTCTAAACTTTAGGCTGCATGGTGGCACAGTTGTGAGCACTGTTGCCTCGCAGCACGAAGGTTGCAGGTTCGAAACTCGGCTCAGCTGGGGCCTTTCTGCGTGGAGTTGCGTGTTCTCCCCATGCATGCGTGGGTTTCCTCAGGGTACTCCGGTTTCCCCCACAGATCACAACATGCCCTATAGGTTATAAATTGTAAGTCGCTTTGGATAAAAGCGTCTGCTAAATGAATAAACATAAACATAGCAGGAGATTTGTAACACACATGAAACGTCATATGTCGGTCGGCGTACCCCAGGGGAAGCCTCCATTAGATCCAGAATGCCGAGGTCCTCGTGGACCCTCCTTGGTACCGAAGCCGGCAGAAAAGCAGCGGTGCCAACCAAACTAGTCTTGGAATGCTTCCAGGTCACGACAGGTTATCACTGGCGTCTCTGAGACCCTGAAGGGGTCATGAGGTTCAGCTTTTATTCTGAAGGAACCGTTGCGGTCAGGTAAAATACTACTGATCACAGGATTATAATATCAAGTAATAACATTGTCATTTCACAGATTGACTGAACATTGGGCTCACATTATTATTGGTAATAAAGTTGTTGATAATGAGTTTATCAAAAGATGTTCTTCGTCTTTGTATTGAGCTGTAACAAAGGTGAAGCAGTTCAGATGAGCAGAGTACATGAAAGAGCTTGGCCACTATCTCATGTAGATTAGGCTGTCAGAGACTTTATGTCTCTGCTCGAGCAGACGCAGGAGATCATGAGCTTTAGGTCAAAAACAGGACATTCATAATGCTACACCCTCTCAACATGTTTGGGCCTGCCTGGTCTGACCGGCATCCTCCCCCACCATCTGAGCCAACTCACCACCAGGTAGTGGTCAGTTGACAGCTCCGCCCCTCTCTTCACCCGAGTGTCCAAGACATGCGGCCGCAGGTCAGACGAAACAACAACAAAGTCGATCATCGAGCTGCGGCCTAAGGTATCCTGGTGCCAAGAGCACATATGGATACCTTTATGTCTGAACATGGTGTTCATTATGGGCAATCCATGACTGGCACAGAAGTCCAATAATAAAACGCCACTCAAATTCAGATCAGGGGGGCTGTTCCTCCCAACCACACCTCCCCAGGTCTCACTGTTGTTGTTGTAATGTGTTCATTTTAAATGTTCATTTGATTAAAGCTACTGAAGCTTTTATGGAATCGTGCACCTCTTACATATGTTTTTGCTTTCTGCTCATTTTGTCCACTGGTGAACGTGGGAGGTTACACCCCACTTCCTTTGTTTGTCCTTATTCAGCTCACGTGAAAGTAAAACTCATCCCGTTGTCCTCCATCTCCTCACCACTCTCCCACAGCATGCACAGGTTTCCGGCTTCGCCCAGTGGCCGGTCTGCTTTCATCCCGGGATTTCCTGGCTGGACTCGCCTTTCGCGTTTTCCATTCCACGCAGTACATTCGTCACGGCTCCAAGCCAACGTACACGCCTGAGCCGTGAGTGTTAAAAGCCTGGCTCTAATGTCAGAAATGGTATAAAGATGACATTAAGTTAACGAGTCGCCTCTAATCCAGGGATGTCTGCCATGAACTCCTGGGACACGTTCCTCTGTTTGCTGACCATAGTTTTGCCCAGTTTTCACAGGTAATTTTCCCAAAACTGAAATAATTCACTTAATCTGCATATTTATCATCTGTGTTAAACAACCTGAACACATGATTCGGATTAAAATAACAAAGATGGCTCTTTTTTCTGACCTATGTGCTGTTATTTCCCTGTCCAGGAGATTGGTCTTGCATCGCTTGGTGCCCCTGATGAGTACATTGAGAAACTTGCCACTGTGAGTTTGGTGAAAACCAAATAAAATATTATAATTTAAACATGCATGAATTAATGTCAACTGAAGAGCAGCTGAAGAGCTTATTTAATTTCAGCAAACAGTGACCATAAGAACAGAAAACAACAGATTTATGGCTGTTTTGTTGACTGGCCAGTAGAAGAAAGTATTGCTCAAAACAAACTCTCCTCAGAGCTCTGAGAGGAGCTTGTTTTGTTTTCACCTTTTCTAAACCTTGTGTGTCTTCAGGTGTACTGGTTCACTGTGGAGTTTGGCCTGTGTAAGCAAGGCTCTGCGATCAAAGCTTACGGAGCTGGCCTGCTTTCATCATTCGGAGAGCTGAAGGTAACGGGAAGCTCAGTCACAACTGTTTCCACAAGCTAGAAGTGCATTCTGTATTATATTGTCCCATCCAGCATGGGGAGTGGGTTATAGGTTCACTTAAGACTCTGGTTTGGGACTTGGTCTCCTGCACCAGCAGGGTTCTAGTAAAGTGGTTCGGTGGGTGGGCGGAGGCAGTTTGCTATCCAGATCACAGGTAAAATCAGATAACGTTCACTCTGCCAAATTAAAAGCAAATAAACCAATCGTGCTGAACTTCCTGCTCTTGGCTACAGGAATAGAAACGCTCAGTAAGAAATTAAATCCATACAATAAATATTTTCTTTTTGTCCAGTATTGTAAAACAGACACACCCAAACTCCAGCCATTTGACCCTGAGAAGACCAGCCTGCAGAAATACCCGATCACAGAGTACCAACCTGTTTACTTTGTGGCTGAGAGCTTTGAAGATGCAAAGGAGAAAGTGAGGTAAGACATGAGCTCTTCTGTTTGTTATTTTTCAAGGTTAAACTGAATGCTAAAGCTGTTTTGGGCTTTGTCCACAGGAAATTTGCAGCCACTATCCCCAGGCCTTTTTCAGTCCGCTACAACCCGTACACCCAGAGTATTGAAGTCCTGGACAACACCCAGCAGCTTAGCAACCTGGCCGGCTGCATCCATAGTATGTACCACTGTAACATCGCACATCCTTCTGCACAAAACCAGAACATTTTCTTTACCAAAGTTGGTCTTAATTCATCCATCAGGTCTTTGGACCATCATAGGTCAGAGTGAATCATCTAGAAAATTTGGCTCAAACAAAATTGCGTGGGTATCTTCCAGACCAGACCTTGTACAAAGTACTCCAAACATTTTGTGAACAATGACCAAGCACTGAGAGGAGCCAGTTAAGGTGGCTCGGGCATCTGGTCAGGATGACTCCTGGACGCCTCCCTGGTGGTTTTCTGGGTACGCCCAACCGGGAGCAGACTTAAAGGAAGACCCAGGACATGCTGGAGGGACTACGTCTCTCTGCTGGCCAGGGAACGCCTTGAGATTCCCCATGAAGCGCTGGCATAAGTGGCTAGGGAGAGGGAAGTCTGGGCCTCTCTGCTTAGGCTGCTGCCCCCACAACCCAACTCTGGATAAGTGGATGAAAATGGATGGATGACCTAGCAGCCTTTTTTGTACAAAACAACTAAATAAGTGTTTTTTATACAGATTTATTTAATTTAATCTGCCACCCTAAAATAATCTACTTTAATTGTGTCCATAAATAGACAAAAGGAAAAGAAATTGTGAAAAACACAAGGTTTGAGAACCTTTAGCCAAACGAAAGCCTCCTTTACTTGGAGCTCGGAACATTATCCAGGTCGAAATGAGAGCAGCTTCCACATGAGAATCATCGAGTCCAATCAGAGCATTTACACCAGCTGCAGTGCAGCGCAGATCTGGATGTGAAGCAGAGCAATCCCTTTACGTGGTTTCTATTTTTCCCGGACAGCGCAAGCGGATCGTCATGAAGTTGAAAGTACAGACAGGAAAGTAAAGTGTGTGCCAGCAAGATGCATCCTGTTAATTTCAAAATAAAACTTGTGTTGCATCATTCTGTCGACTTCTTTGGTTGTTAACTCATTCACTGCCATTGACGACTAAAGTCGTCATTTGCATTTTTTTTTTTACTGTGTGGGCATCGGAACGAGCCCCCTGCACCATGAGAACAAACATCCCAGCTCTAAAGCCGATTTTCATCCACATACGTCACACTTAACGTGATCAGGAAGCAGAAAATCCATGAGTTAGATCGTTTTGGGCCGCTGCTGTAAAAAAAAAGTGAGGCGCGAACCCGAAAAGCTTCTGCCGATCACAATTCAACAACGGATTATGAAAGAACGGAAAACGCTCGAAATGTGCGGATTCTTCCTGATGTAAGAGGCGAGTCTCCGCTTTGTTTTGGTTGTTTTGGCGTCGACATCATCCTAGCAAGCAACATTCTGTGACTCTTAAAAAAACAAAAACGATGAGAAACGCTGGCAGCGAAGAGCTTTACTGATCAGGAAACGGCTGGCAGCGAATGAGTTAATGACACGGATATCGATTTACAGTGCATGACTGTACGAGAAGACAAGAGCAGCTTTTGTTTACCAGCTCCCCTCTACATGCGTTGCTGCTATCGCATGAACTTGTGAGCAACATCCTCACGGTTCGCAACTGGAACAGCACTCAGTGTAAATGGTGGTAAAAAATGCTTTCTTTATTTGTATTTTGATATATCATAGTTAAATTCTTCAAATGTGCCTAACTCAACTGATCCTGAATCGTAAAAATAGAGCACACATCATTATGACAATAATAATTATTTTAAGCTATTGCTAACATTTTTCATTTATCTAAACCCGGTGAAAATTTGACCAGCTGAGCAGATTAAAGCAGGTAAGAATAACGTGCGTTTTTAGCAGCAGCTTCTATTAATTTTCTGTTTCCTCTCCTTTCCTTCAGGTGAACTGGGGAAATTGTGTGAAGCTCTGAAGAAACTGGAGTAACTGCTTGCCTCGACGTTTTGGACCTTTGTTCAGTATTTACGTTTTATTGGTTCAGCTTACCTTACTAGAAAATGTTCCTTCTTCACATTAACAGATTATGCCACTCAGATTAGGAGTTTACCCGTGTAATCCTGCCAGCAGAAAATATTTGTATTTTATTAAATTATCTTTAGCCTAAACAAGTTAGTAAAGTGCTTGAAAAAACTCAGTATTTTATCTGCTTGAAGTTACAGAATTTATCTTTCAAAATAGGATTTTTCCTTCACAAAATAAAATTCTCAATTTAAATTTTTTGATTAGATTTAAATTCTATAAACCCTAAGTAGATCATTTATTTAGAAGTTTTCTTTATTTCTAATAAATTCTAATTTATGCATGAAGTGTAGCTAAAAAAACAGGTTTATATCCAATGGAAACAGCTTTTATTAACATTAGCTCTTACATATAGCCATTTATTTGGAATGTTTAATGAAAAGATCCTCAAGGATGAAGAGGATGTGCTGCTTAAGAAAAAAAAACTATTTTAGGAGGACGTTATTGCAGATATTTCTGTGTGTTTGTGTGAATCTGTCTCAGTAAAATGTTTATTTTTCATTTAACAGTTTTTACTCTGCGTGATCCATGCTTTGAAGTAGTTTTGTAGTTTTTGCCAGTATGCTTGTGTTATGACTACGTTTTACTTTCAAGGGCGATTTTCGATGTTTATCTTATTAAACGGGGAGGAAAACGCTCTCTGAATCCAGTCACTTTTCCCTCTTTTTATTAGAAGGGTTGAAAGTTATGTGGTAAAAATGGCTTATACCGTTTTCATACAAAAACTGTGTTTTTCTATTTTCTTGGTTAAGAATGATTTCTGGTGAAAAGTGGATCATGCAAAAATCAACTATTCTGATGTATTTGGTAACAATCCATCATGTGTTCATTTATCAAATGAAATTTTTACAATTGGCATTTACAATTGTTTGGATTTGAAACTTTCAGAGGTTTTCTTCTTTTGCTTGAAATAGCATTTGTGTTCACCAGTGTGGTGTTGGGCGTTTAAAGGGTGCAGATCATTTGTTTAATAAAAAGAAACCTGTTTTGCAACAGTTTGGTGTTTATTTCCCTTTAGTTAAAAAGGCCACACAAATTACACATTTCAAACTGAAACATATAAGTAAAATTATTTTATTGTGAAAATTGTTATGCTTACCTCCTCAACAATTGATTAAACACAATATTTTATATATGTTTTTTGTAGAAAATTAGATATGAGAAATTAAATGGTTTGACTTAATTAAAGAAGAAAAGCTGAATGTGATCCAAAAACATGTTAATAGGCAAAATAGAAATAATGAGCTGAGTGTTTTATTTTGAAATTATTTTATTTTCTGCATTTTTACCTCACATTAGTGAAAACCTTAAAGGCCCCATGTGTGAAATCCATTGAAATCATGATGAAACAATGTGACTCTTTAGCGCCATGCAGTTCAGACAAAGTATTGCAGCTACGGTGGCTCACTCATGAGTTTGACTGTCTAATTAATTTCCAACCTGTGTAGCCTAACCCACACAAAGCTTAAAACAGGCTACTCTACCTCTTTAAAAAAGCATTTATAATTATGACTGTTTTATCATCCTACCAGTTCTGAAGGAAGCAAGCTAGTTCTGTTCTTGAAGCTGTCACGATTCACACTCGGAGGAGGGGTGACGTCAGCCGGGAGGTCAGGTGTTCTGACCCCCGTGTCGGGAGATCGCACTTCTGGCTATTTTTACAACACGTGTAAACTTTTACGTGAAAATTATGTAATGTAATGAAATGAAGTTATGCTTGTTATTGTAAGGGCAGAAGTTGGTACTTGACCTCGAAGGGGGGGGGGGGGGGGGGGGGGGGTATTGAAGACCAGCTGGTGCTCGTTCGGCATGATGAGGCCGGAAGTGATAAAGGGTGGCAGATTTGCAGGAAGGGGTGTGTGTGGCCGACCTGTCATTGTGGCACCCTGAGTTGGGGGGTGGGATCGCTCGCAGTGGGTTAGGGCTGCCAGCGATGAAGACAGCTGAGTAGGGGGTAGTGTTCCAGCGCCATGAGGGGAGGCTAATTGCCTTCTTTAGGTAGTTAGGGCGGGAGTAGCTGGATGTCAAGGCCACAGTGACATCTGCCACAGAGAGACCAGGCAGACGGACGCAAGCCGTACAATCTACCCGCCAACCATGGAAGTTAATCCCCGGGAAGTTGGACGGCGTTGGACGCTCGGACCACGGAGAGGGGGTCGCACTGACTGGGCCAGCTAAGTATCTGACTGTTTTATGGCTGATCAGCTGGTTTCATCTGACTGGGGGAGGGAAGGGTGACGGGGCGAGAGAGCGCTAGTAGGGACAGGGGCTGGGCTTTATAGGGAGGAGTTTTATTGTGGAATTGTGCTAATAAAAATGTATTTTTGGTGACTGGTGCCTGCTCCTGTTTTTGTAAGGTTCTGTCTGGAGGGCAAGAGATTCTGCCTGTGCAGCCCACACTACTTTTCATTACATTATTTTTATCTGTATTTCCTCCTAAAAACAATAGAAAATAGAAAAGATACAGTAAAAACTTTCTTGTTCACTCGTTTGCAGCAAGCTTATTTACCTTTTTGAAAGTTATGTAAAAAGATGTAATCTCACTCAGTTTTACCATCTTTTATTTGAGGTAGTTTAGTCCTCATAATGGACAATAAGTTCTGTGGATTTGGAAATATTTGCTCTTGACTGCCTAAGGGAAACAGAATATTTCGGGGGAACATAATTTACCACAACACCCGTTTCATGTGACTCATGGTGCTCTCAAGATAAACAAGCTGGCTGTTGCTACCAGCTTATATGGATATGGAGCGATCACTGGGTGATCGTTAGACACGGCTGGTGGAGTGTTGGTGAGCCGGGGACACGCTGGATATCAAGTAAACAATGATGACTTATCCACCAGCTAATCGTGGCTCATGGCTGGCGTGGTGGAGATCGGCGTCACAAGCTACCGAGCTACTAGATAGCCATGGCTAGAGCCGGGGAGATGCTGTGTGTTAACTCCCACGGATTACCAGCAAAAGGAGACCCAAGTCTAAAGGTAACGTTTGAGAAGAAGCCCTCTGTGTTGGAGCGTCTCAGTAATGCGTGGAGAACTACATCGCATTAGTAGAGTTGTGGAGATAAAGTAAAACATGCTGCTTTAGCCACTGGCTAGCGCATGAGCGCTGGAGCGTGTTGGGCGAGACGGTAGGCTGCAGGAAGAGAGACTTGAGTAGAAGGACTTTAGAACGGACACGTTGGGACCGGGTCGGGAGTTCTGGTACGAGGAAAAGATGAATGAACAACTTGAGGTGAGTTTGGGAGTCAGAGACTCTAATCGGAGGCTGGCGTCCAGCTACTAGCGGGCGGGGGTCTGAACATATGCAGCTTCCTTGTGTTGGACATGATGAAGAACTGACAAATTTTATGTGTCTTTTGAGTTAGTTGTTTTTTATTCAAACTAACAAGTACAGCAACATGTAGCTATTGTTTTCTATTTCTTAGTTGAATAATGGGCCATTCCCATCTGTACCGGGTCGGCCCGGGCCGGGTAGCCCCAGTCGGCCCCAGCCTGGCCCGGTTGATTCCACACAACCTTGTCTTAAGCCCATGTGGGCTGATTCTACCCACCAATCAGAGGCTTGCTCTAATAGAAGGTGTGAATTTGCTGTCAGCAGTGGGTGTGTTGGCCCTGGTCGGCCTGAAGCAGACCACCTTGAGAAGAGGGCTGAGAATGAGCCTTGGTTGGCCCGGAAAAATACCAGGCCACCCAGATATGTAAACAACCTAAGCTACCCGGCCTGGGCCGACCCGGTACAGATGGGAATGGCCCATTAGCAGACTCCATGCTTCCAGGATGCACTGCTGCCCTCTGCTGGTTCTTTCAGGTTACAGTCATAGTCCAAACGGGTAACGTGGAGCTCGTACGTCCCTAAACAGCTACTGTATTTTAAGATGGTGGATGACCATGGAGCGTCGAACACAGTTTATGTATATAAAAATGTATAATTTCAAGTAAAAACGGGTAAAAATATCACACACTGGGCCTTTAACGTAAAACCTTTAAAAAGTCTGAAGCAAAAGTCTATCATTATTAAAATGCTGTCAATAGCCAGCTAACCCTAACCCGCTAGGATCACAAGAGGCCCACGGGTCGCACTTTAGACACCCCTGATTTGAAGGAAGTAAAAGCTGACATTAAAGTAAGTTTCTGAGATAACCCAAAGGGTTCAAATAAAGGCATCTGGACTTCTTTGGTTTCTTGAAGATGTTTCTCTTCTCATCCAAGAAGCTTTGTCAGTTCTGACTGGAACATGAGAGTAAAGCTTATAAGCTGTAGCTGTCTATTGTTTAACGTGCAGAAACTGCTCCGAGGACCCCTCTTCTCTACCCCCTGATGAGTTGTTAGCTTCTATTGAGAAGGAGTTGTGTTGATTAGATGCAGGAAGGTGTGACCTAGACTGAAACAGCTTAGGAATGAGATTCAAAGTTGCATTATAGGTACTGGAAAGGTGAAAATCTAAGCCCCCCACCCCTATTTAAAGTAAGTTTTTCACGTTTGACATAACGTATTTTCCGGACTATAAGTCGCACTTTTTTTCATAGTCTGGCTGGTCCTGCGACTTATATACCAAATTATGTATACCGCGCTGCTGCGGGCCGGCTCCAGACCAGGAATAAGCTCCTCTGCCCCGCCATCACCTGCTGGAGCCTGTGGCGAGCTGCTGCGGGCTGGCTGGTTCCGACCCAGGAATGAGCTCCCCTGTCCCGCTGGGATGGTTTCAAACACCGCCACCACCTGCTGCAGCCTGTGGCGGGGTGCTGCGGGCCGGCTCCGGCCCAGGAATGAGCTCTCCCCGCCTGCTGGGAGGGCTTGAAACACCGCCGTCCTCTGCTGGAGACCGTGGTGCGCTGCTGCGCCGCGTTGTTTATTCTGTTATTGTTACCAGTACTTGTCTTCCAATGTGAAACGCTTGTTCTCAGATTTTGTAAGAAAAAGAATAAAATTCCCCCCCAAATTGCGACTTATAGCCCAGTGCAACTTATATATGTTTTTTCTTCTTCATTATACGTTTTATGGCTGGTGCGACTTATACTCCAGAGCAACTTTTACTCTTGAAAATAAGGTAGTTAGCTTCATTTACTCCTCTCTCAAACCATCTATCTTCTCTGTCCAGAATGTGTACTTTGTTTTCTTCAAAGGTGTGTCCCTTGTCCTTCAGGTGTAGGTGAACTGCAGAGTCTTGAGCTGAAGAGGTGGCTCTCCTGTAGAGATCTGGACAGTCCTCACTACACTGGACTGCATAAACAACGCCATTAAGCTTCTTTGTGTGTGTTTTGTCTTTTGGATGGACCAGTTTCTGTCTGAGGGTGTTGTTGGGTTTAAAGTTCACTGGGATGTTGTGTTTGGAGAAGATTCTTTTAAGTTTCTCTGAGACTCCTGCCACGTATGGGAGGATGGTGCCTTTCTACCTGTCGTCCTTTTCTTTGCTGCTTTGGATGCTTTTCCAGACTTCTTTATAGACTTCACAAAGGCCCAGTTAGGGTATCTGCAGTTTTCTTCCTTTTGCTTTCCTTCAGTCTTGAATGTGAGTCTAATGTAGCCAAAAGGCTGCTCTTGAGGCAGCAGAGAAGAAGATTTGAGGTTCTCTTTGGAAGAGATGAGGATCAGAAAGAGACCATCAGCTCATGCTGGTTGTTTTGAGTCAAACTGAGGTGGTTTGGACATGTCCAGATGAGACGTAGAAGGATGTGGAGTTTGGAGCCACCAGGGATAGGTTGGTTTAAACAACAGACCCATCCTCTGCTCCCAGCAGATGTTTGAGTGGCAGACCCAAACGGTACCATGGGTCATACGTACCACACAAGGCAGACCAGCACATTTATCTTATTTATACCAACGACTTTGTGAAAACACATTTTAGTATTTTTGCCATCTGTCCTGTAATTTGTGTTAATATGATGCTTTCATGGGATGTTGGGCCATCTGATGTTTAACTTGACCTTAAAGAGCAAGTCACCCCTTACAAGAAGCGTACTTCACTCCCACTTCATGTTTGAAAAATGCAACAAATGCAGTTGCCTAGCAGACCGAGAGAGTGGAGCCACTAACAAATACACACACTCACAACATTGTGACATCATAATTTACCAGTTACATCATAGCGTACCTCTTAGCCAATAGCGGTGGCAGATTTAAATTCAAATGCAGTGAAGAGTTTTTACCTGACAACGGCACAACACTGACAGTTTCAGGCAGAAAATTTAAATTTGAACTAAAATGCACTGAGGTGCAAAACTATTGACTACACGTGTCTGCAGCACGATTAGACACGCATTTATATAGTATATCAGAAAAAAAATTGTTGGTTTGGGGGTGACTTGCTCTTTAAATGTTTTCACCTCTAATAAATTTAAAACCAGTTTTTTTTCTAAAGCACAAGACTTCATGTTTTTCCTCATTTACGCTGATCCTGCGCTTTGCCTTGCAAAATATCATTTTGTTTAGCTCTGACAACTTTTCTGAACACGAACACTGTTGGAGTCTAAATGACAAACCCAATTCAACAATGACTGGTCAACATCTGTGCACAAAGACAACCCTGATCTTTTCATTTAGGAGTTGATGGTAAACTCTATCATTCTTTAACATCTTCAGTCCCATAAACATGATATTTTCATGGCAGGATGATTTATTACGGTCGTGTTTGCAGCTTGATTTCGTTTCTTTTTTAATAACCGTGACCACGTAACATTTGTGTAACAGAACCATTTGGAGTCCCATAAATGGAAGAGAAACCGTGACGCACAACAGGTCCCCAAAAAAGCCCAACTCCTGTGCTGCACCTACGCAACTCCTCTCCATTTAAACCCATCTGGAGGAGGGGGTGAAGGACCACAACCTGCCTGCTCCGGTCAGCGTTCAGCCTGCGGCAGCGAGCGGCCAGATGAAGACGGACGGAGCCACGCAGACGTTCAGCGGCAGGAAGCAGAGCCTGATAGAGGATGCTCGCAGGGAGCGAAGCGGCGGTCCGGCGTGCTCCTCGGGACCGACCAGGATTGGAGACGAGTGTGTGTTCCAGGAGAAGGATGGAAGAGTCACCATAAATGTTCTGTTTGCCCTCAGCAATGAGAAAAACTCTGGGTTCTTCCAAACAGGGAAAATATTTGAGGTGAGAAATAAAAAATAAATTATCAAACAATATTTAGTTTTACATCTTTACAAACTAATGTATTAAATTCATTAGTAAACCGACCGTTTTGATAGCTTTATAGTGAAATTTGTGCTAATTTTAGATACATTTCATTAAAATCCCAAAAGGTTGTTAGAACATTCCATTTTTTTAATAGGAAAAATAAAAAAGAATATTCCATTTTTTAGGAAATGATTAAACTGTAATACAACCTTAAAATGTATGTAAAATTCTTTAAAACATTTTTAATCAAACGCTAAAAAATATTTTTTGATTATTTTAACCCAGCTTGGTGTATTAAGATCAAATCTCACACTATAAATGTCTAATATCATAAATATTATGATTTTGACTTCTAATAAAAGAAAAGACTCACCCAGCCGAAGTTTGGACCAAAACATCCGTAAAACCCTCAGAATGTAAAAAAGCACTGACTCTTAGCCTCGGCGAGAGATTTCATCAAATGTTGTAAATTTGTCTTTGATCTTGGTTTTTCAGACGTTTGAAGCGAAACTTCTTCACATAGAAAGCCGGATGAGGAAGAAGTCCAAAGATGACCTGCCTGAGCTGGAGTTCTTCATGAGGTGTGAAGTTCAGAGGGCTGATCTGGACGTGTTCATCAGCTCGCTGAAGCGGGTGGCTGGTGATGTTCGCTCCATGCCCGAGGAAAAGCGTACGGACCTGATTTTATTCCTGTCGTGTTAAATGGGATGGAAGCTTGTGTGTGAATGTGGTTTTCATCACAAAAGCACTAATTAGGCTCTGTCTGCATCACAGTTCCCTGGTTTCCCCGACGAATGAAAGACCTCGACAGATGCAACATGTTGATAACCAAATTTGATCCCGACTTGGACCACGATCATCCCGTGAGTCTTCAAAAAACAAAAAAAAAACTGTATTTAAATGTAAAAATTAACCTTGTTTCTAGTAACTTAACATCTTTTCTCCAGGGATACGACGACTCTGAATACAGAAAAAGACGCGCTGAAATCTCTGAGCTTGCCTTCACATACAAACAGTGAGTTTCGGCTCAGAATAATCACATTTTTACTCAAATAATTTCTCCTAAACAGTTTCTTCTGCTGCAGAGGTGACCCACTGCCCACAGTGGAGTACACAGCAGAGGAGATTTCAACATGGTGAGAATAAGCTGCATGGGTGCAGGTGGTTTAAGCGGACAGAAGAGGTGATGTGTTGGTGTGATCCTGTGGACAGGAGGCAGATTTACCAGCAGCTGAGGAGCATTTATCCCACCTCGGCCTGCAGCCAGTTCCTGGACAGCCTGCAGCAGCTGGAGGACGAGTGTGGTTATGGAGAGGCTCGAATCCCCCAGCTCAGAGACGTCTCCGCCTTCCTAAAAGGTAACAAACCTTCCGTACCGTTCAGGCAACTCCTGCAACAAGAAATAAACAAAACAACAAGTCATTTTTTATTTAGAAATGTAGGTACTGAAAAGTAAAACATGCTAATTCCTCTTTAAAAACATTAGTGTGGAGTTAAAGAGCAAGTCACCCCTACATCAACATTTTTTTCTGATATACTATATAAATGTGTGTCTAATCGTGCTGCAGGCACATTTAGTCAGTAGTTTTGCACTTTAGTTAAAATTTTAATTTTCTGCCTTAAACTGGCAGTGTTGTGCCGTTGTCAGGTAAAAACTCTGCACTGCATTTGAATTTAAATCTGCCATCGCTATTGGCTAAGAGCTACCCTAGAATGTTAGCTGGTACCATATGATGTCACAATGTCGTCGTGAGCCTGTGTGTGTGTGTGTGTGTGTGTGTATTTGTTATCGGCTCCACCCTCTCGGTCTGCTAGGCAACAGCATTTGTTGCATTTTTCAAACAGGAAGTGGGAGTGGAGTAAGACTCTGGTAGGGGGTGACTTGCTCTTTAAAATTTCAAATGAAGGCTGCATAAAACATCCAAAAAGAAAAAAAAATACAAAAATCCAGGAGTACTTTAATGACGACACTTAAAAGATGACATCTCTCGTGAAGTGTCTCGCTTGTGCTGTAACAGGTGCGTACTCGGGTCACATGACTTGAATCAGATGATTTTAGACAAACTGATGAGATGACACCAGAATTAACACGACTGACTCGTGACTTCACTTGGACCTGAGCCTGGTGACGACGTGTGACCTGGTATCTCGGGATGAACACTAAAACATACAGCCTTTTTTCTGATGAAGTTCCACTGTGTCTGCAGCTTTTTAAACCTTTTAGGAAGTTTTCATCGTTCATGAGAACATTTTCATATTGATCTGTAACTGATTTGGTCAAAGGACTCATCCGTGAATTACGATTCAAAATGAACTCGACTCCAGACTTGCATGACGTGGGATTTGGCTTGACCTTTGCTCCTGGAATATTCCTTCATAAACTAGAAAAGGTTGAAAAAATAAATAAATAAATAAAAACAAGAAATGAAAAATTAAAGAAACTCAATTTTGCATCTTTCCTCAAAAACAAAAGCTCCTCAAAATAAATAAATATGAACTGATGAAGACAGAAGACGTCCGCAGGTTTAGTGTTTTACCCTAAACTGTTTCCATTTTCATGGTGTCCAGAGAAAACTGGTTTCCAGCTGCGTCCCGCCGCCGGCCTGCTGTCGGCCAGGGACTTCCTCGCCAGCTTGGCCTTCAGGGTGTTCCAGTGCACACAGTACATCCGTCACTCGTCGTCGCCCATGCACTCCCCCGAGCCGTGAGTCTGTTTTCATCCCAGCACCATCTCCTTTATTCCTACATTAGTTGTTCTGACACTTGGATCTGATCTGACAGCGACTGCTGCCACGAACTGCTCGGCCACATTCCCATGCTGGCAGATAAAGAGTTTGCACAGTTTTCTCAGGTGATAGTCATGCTTGGTTTTTCGTTTGGTGCCATTGTGATGAATCCCACTTAAACGTACCACTTTCTTTGCAACCAGGAGATTGGACTTGCCTCACTGGGTGCATCAGATGATGACATTGAGAAACTCTCAACGGTACACAATTCATGGGCTCTCACTGCCACCTAGTGGGGAAAGTGAACAACAGCAGCTTGCCCTTGATTCCTGAAGTCTTCAGACTTTTTTTTTTTTTTTTTACTGTTTTTCTTCTGCAGCTATACTGGTTCACGGTGGAGTTTGGCCTCTGTAAGCAGAACGGAGAGGTGAAAGCTTACGGCGCCGGACTCCTCTCCTCCTACGGAGAACTGGTTGTGAGTGAGCTCTTTAACTTCACACAGAAATGTTTGTGTTTCATCGAGGCGCTGACAGACTGTCATCTCTCCAGTACGCCCTGTCCAACAAACCAGAGCACAAGCCTTTCAACCCTGAGGAGACGGCGGTGCAGCCGTACCAGGACCAGACCTACCAGCCGGTTTACTTTGTGTCTGAAAGCTTCGAGGAAGCAAAGCTGAAGCTGAGGTAATAAAGTGGCTTTAATCCCATCTGAAATAAAAATGGACTTTGATTCTAATGTTTAAAACGCATGAGAGATTTTTGGTTCATACCTGAATAGAAACACCCAACAGTGACATTTGCATAGAAAATACAGAATTTTCAACAACTTAAACTACAAAATGTCTTTAATTGTGTGCAAACCTAACTAAATATGTATCATTAAGCTAAAGTAGCATCTTTTGGCAGAAAAACAATTCATGCGCATTTTTAAATAAAATAAATTCTGGTGAAAATGTTGGATCACTCTAGCCTGGCAAGTCAGAATAAATAAATATAGCAAGAATTTGGTCTAGCTCACTAGGCTAGGATCCCTCAGTGTTTTCCTGCATGCAGCTAAACTTTTAAATCCCTCCACGTTGCAACAATGCTCTGACTTAATCATGTCAAAACTGCCCTTTTATATATCTGATTATTCTTATTTCATGTTTAACAACAACTAGCTGCTTTTTTCAGTCAGCAATGTGTTGGATTTTTGTTCATCTTTTTGACTTTTACATCTCTGCACCAACATTAACTAAATATGGAGATGTATGAACATATCTGTACACCACGATAATGTGATATTTCTTGTTCTAATACTGAACTGATCGTTAGAAGCACTGTATTTGGCTTTTGTTGAGAATTTCCACCAACATTTTACTGCATTTCTTTTCTGTGGTGCAATTCAAACTCCGCCCCATAGGTGGCAGCAGTTTTACGGCCTTTATTCTGACAAAAAGACATCCTCTGAAGACACCGGGGGTGTTTCTCAATGTCAAGGCGCCTTGCGAGGCGATGTCTTGCGAGGCCAGGCGTCTTGCTTACGAGGACACGGTCCTTCCTTGGTCAAAGAAAACGTTTCAGTGGAACAGACTTGCATCACGTGACCGCGGCTTACACGGCGATCACGCGACACGGGAGATAACGTTATATTTTATATGTATAAGTTTCAATATAAATATATAGCGAGCCATTTACTTTTTAAATTGTGTATATGTTTATGAAATTAAATATATAAGTGAGTTACTACCCGCTAGCCACCGAAGCTGCAACTACTAAGCAGCTAACTAACCATAGCTAGCTTCTTTGGATCTAAAAATAACATTTTAATTAGTTGACTTACTTTTAAATATGAATTTGTCCCTGAAGTAGCTGCCGGCTTCTGATCCGCCGTCTTTTTGAAAATACCGCGCTGTATTCTGGGTAATTATGACCAAGGCTAGGCTACAAGACACCTCCCGTGTATCCTTACTCAGCTAGCTTAACGGCTAACAAACGGAGAACACACGCCTCGGTAGAACATGAACATTGGAACATGTCTTGGCGGTTCCTGATGACGTATCTCCTAGGCAACCGGGGCGGGGCCAAGTCATCAAGACGAGGTTCCTCGGCATTGAGAAACACCCCGGATGTGTCTCAGAAGTGTTTGGCCTCAGTTTTCCAATTAAATTAAATCTTAAAAAATGCAAATAACAATAGGCTTTTAGTTTCACCATATATCGTATCGTCTCCCTTGTTTTGTGATATCTCTTAACACTTGTGAAAACTCCTGCCTATCTTTTTTTTTAATACTGGTACATCATTAAGAAGCAGTGATCCACATCATCATAACTTTCTTTCAACAGGAAATACTCTGCAAACATCAAGCGTCCCTTTGCAGTTCGCTACGACCCCTTTACCTGCAGCATGGAGGTTCTGGACCACCCCAGCAAGGTCCAGAGAGCTCTGAGTCAGATGAGACAGGACCTGAAGACTCTTCAAAACGCTTTGGAGAAGCTCAGCTCGTCCTAAAACCTGGACCAGAGCTTCTGCAGCAATCAGAGAAGAAGAGACCGACTGGCCTTAGAACAGATCCATCAACAGGAACTCTCACTGCTTCTACTTGTGTTTAAAGAGTGAAATAAAAGTTTATTTTCATGAAAATATGTCCTCAAAAATTGGATTATTTACTCGAAAGTGGAGTGGAAGGAAAAGTAGCTGAGAAAAAGGAGAGAACCACAACAATACACGACTTGTCGACCATTTACTAGCCTCTAATTCCAAACCAACTGTTTTCATTAGAAAAATTCTTGGAAGCCATTTGTCTTCGTGTGTTATTAAGCAGAGGGAAGGAGCTAATTATGAATGATTTAAGTATCACGTTGCCTTTCTGTTGGATAAGGTCAGAGCCAACAGTGAGGCCCAGAACATTAACGGGACCAGGTCACCGAGACCTCGCAGTCAACCACGGCGCGGCCCACAGGGCTGCACTGCTGACAGATGCTCTTTTGGCTTTCCTTTCTCCTCCTGCGTGCAAACAGAGAAGTTCTCAGGTTTTCCTTTTTCCAGAATTTTGATCTCCACACAGGCGACAATGCGTATCAGAACCATACATGTCAAAGCTTTCCCTCAAGAAGACAAATGGTCTCCATCTGCTGGATTCATGAAGCAACAGCATTATTGAGATGGTGGCTGGCAAAGCCTCCCTTCCCATAAATCCACAGCACAGTAAATCAAGCCTCCCTGGGAAAGCCCGAGTTTGATGGAAGAACACCTTGCCCTTTTGAATATGAATGCTCTTTAAAGCCACAGTTCTTCCACGAAACCATGTTTCTTGGATCCACAGCATTTTAAACAAAAGCCGGTTGCTGCAGCAACCGGACGACCGCAACAGGGATTCGGCTGGATTCTGGTGCCTTGCACGCTGGCTGCAAACCGTAAAACGTTGCATCCTCCCAGGAAAAGCGTCAGAACAGAAACATCTTTAATCTGGCCTGCTTGTCTCATCTGGACTGGAGACAAAGTCATGAGGTTCACTTTGACCTCAGACCTGTGAATGAATCTCATCTTCGGTTTTTCCTTTAAATCAATCATGAAGGCAGAGTTTTAACGTGGCAAAGAAATGATGAAATTACAGCTTTTAAAAGAACATTTGTTCCGCTGCTCTGTTTTGTAAGAAAAAGACTGAAAAATGCTCCGTATGCACTGAATGCTCTTGGGTTTGCAAACAAAAAAAAACTTCAGGAATGAATTACATTTGTTTTTCAAACCAATGTGAGATTTTAACATTTTTTAAAACAAACGTTTTACCACAACAAATCTGGGTGTTGATTAGCTTTTAGACTCTCAAGCAGGCGTGTCCAAAGTGTGGCCCGGGGGCCATGTTGTGGCCCTTGAGTGACTTTGTGAGGCCTTCAATCTCATTTTAGAATGGTAGAATTTTGTCTCTCCAGCAGATTATTCATGTAAATCAACACTTGTTTCTAGTGTGAAGGTAATTTTGAGCAATACAAATAACTCATTCGCTGCCAGCGTTTTTCACCGTTTGTACTGTTTTTTAAGTCACAGAAGGTTGCGCGCTAGGATGATGTTGACACCAAAACAACCAAAACAAAGCGGAGGCTCACCTCTTACATCAGGAAGAATCCGCGCGTTTCGAGCGTTATCCGTTCTTTCATAATCCGTTGTTGAAATGTGATCGGCAGAAGCTTTTCCGGTTCGCGCCTCACTGTTTTTTACAGCAGCGGCCCAAAACGATCTCCTAACACATGGATGTTCTGCTTCCTGATCACGTGACGTGTGACGTACGCGGATGAAGATCGGCTTTAGAGGTGAGATGATTGTTCTCACGGTGCGGGGGCTCGTCCGACGCCCACACTGTAAAAAAATGCAAATGACAACTTAAGTCATCATTGGTAGTGAACGAGTTAATGCCAGAATATTACAAGTTTTGCATTTTTAAATTAAACTTCTTGTTCACTGAGAAAACGTGTATCACTCGTTTTTATGGAAACACGATCAATCGGTCGCCATGAGTTACATGTGCGAGCTGAACACGTATTAGCGGAGAGGAAATAGATGGAGAAACAGTCGGGTCAGAAAAAGCTAGTCGCTAATACGTCTCATTTTTCGTGGCCCCGCCCACCTTCACTCATGACTACAGAAGGCTGTGTTAATTTTGCAGCTAGGGGAGAGCAGAGCTCGTCTCGGCTGGTAGAAGCTAACTATTAGCAACAGCAACTCCACAACATGGCAGAACTTGTTCAAGCAGCTGTTATTTGTTGAGATAAAACATCAATGTCACATTTTTACCGAAGAAAGAAGAGCAAATGAAGGCAGTGAAGGAGTTGTGTTGCTGTCCATTAGGCCATACTTTTGCTTATGTTTATGTATTTAGCAGACGCTTTTGTCCAAAGCGACTTACAAGGGATAATCGGCATGTTGCCCTTGAGGCTAACAACAACAACAACAACAACAACCAATTTCCAGTCAGTCGTAGGTGGCAGTGAGGCAGCATGAAGAATCATGGAGAGGAGGGAACAAGGTGTGGACAGTAGAGAGGGGGGACGGGTGCAGGGAGGGTGCTAGACTAGAAGATGCTCTCTGAAGAGCAGGGTCTTCAGGAGTTTCTTGAATGTCGAAAAGGAAGCCCCTGTTCTGGTAGTGCTTGGCAGGTCATTCCACATTTGCAACGATGCATGCCCCCCCCCCCCCCCCCCCCAAAAAATAAAACTGCGTCCATGCTAGAGACCACAGCAGACTTACTGAAAAAACGAGTGCCTGTGACCTTTAAGTAAATTACATTTTGTGGCCCGTGAGGACTTACCATGAAGATTTTGGCCCTTGACTTTGGACACCCCTCTTATTCATTTGTAGCCTAGTGAACTAGAACAAATTCTTGTTTTGAAAAGTTTGGTCTAGGAACGCTCCACTGGAACCTCTGCAGCCCCTAACAGCATTCTGGCTGGCCAATCACAGCTCTCTAGAGGGGTTTCAAACACAAAGAGCTGCGATTGGTCCATAATGGTGGGCCAATCATAGTGCTCTATCTGCTTAGTGAACAAATCACAGAGCTTTATCCGCTTTGTGGGCCAATCAGGGCACTCTATATGCCTGGTGGGTGGGATGATGCAACAGAGTGAATCAAGATGGCGACAGCTCGTTTGAAACGGCTTTTACATCAATTTTGTACCACTAGAACTTGGGCTTCATCAGAATCAGGAGCAGATAGATGTATTTAAATGCTTTTATTTTTTTTTTTTAGATAAAATGATGCGTTTTCTCCTTCTTCAACTGCGGACCGCCTCATTTACCGATAGCTGTTGCGGTGAGTATGTCACATTCATTGTCCAGTAGCATGCGGAGATCCTTTGAAAGACAACGGTAGAACCCGCCCCACAACCGAGAGCCGTCAATGGAGCGTTGCCAGACTAAATAATACATTTATTTAGTCTGGCTTGCCAGGCTAATTAATTTTCTCTTTCCCTTACATAATGTTTTAATCATTTTTTTTTCATTTTAAACATTTTTTAACACCTTTTTTATACTTTAATTGTTTGTTTAGTGTGATTTGTATCTTCAGAGGCGCTATATAAAAAGATCTTTCTTTCTAAAGGTTATCAGGCGTTTTAGCAGCAAAGAGTCATTGGGTGCTAACAGATTTTGTTCAATCTTGCTATATTGCATGGAATAGTTATTTTCAGGACGACCACAATGACTCCAGCTGCATCTCAAAACATTCTAAATTAGTTTTGGTGTGAACAGCGGTCGGTAAGGTACAATTCCCAGCTCCTGTCATTATGCAGACACATCTGCAGCTAAAACTGAACTGTTAGACATTTTAAGCTAAGATGACCAAATGAATAAATAAATAAATAAAAAGAAAACTGAGTTCAGACTGAACAAGAACAATGGAAAGTAAAAACCCACAGAAAGGTCCGACTGTATAGACTCTGGGCAGCAGGCACAACAGGATCCAGGTCATAAATTGAAAAATACTTTTAAATAATAAAACAATTCTATTCAGAATAAATAAAAAATGTCACATCAAAGTGTACGACTGTTTCGATGATCAGCAAACTTGACCAAAAAGCTGCGATGCTGCACTTCTTCTTGGCTACTGTTTTCCTCTCTAGAGCAACATTAATCCCTTCATTCTGGGAACGCTTCGCCAACAAATCTGAGGTGAGATTAAATCAAAAGCCAGCTTCAAAGAGCCTAAGCTCTGCCTTTGTTTCCTTTAAAACGAGGTTCCTCGTTATTTTTGTTTGCCCTCTTATTGCTGAGCCTGGGATTAAAATTGGCAGGGCTGCAGAAAAATTATTTTATGGGGAAGAGATTAGCAGAAAGTTGATGTTCTAAGGCAGTCTGAGATCGCTTTCATCCATTTCACAGTTGATCAGCGCACACACCGACAAGAGGGATCACATTGCTTCACTGAGGTCAGATGATGTTCTTCCAGGAAAGAGGTGAGGTTGTTTGATCAAAAGGGATTAGACAGACACCGTTCTTACTGTTCACCAACAGATGGAGGCAGTGAGTCACAGGATTTAATCACCCACTTATGACTCAAATTTCAACTGGTGATTCCCTCCAAGGCTGGTGTGACAGACCAACATGAACATGGCAACCTGCTGATCTGACACTGTAAAGGCACTAGTGGTGGATGGTGCTGACAATAAATGAATGATGCTGAAGACCAGGTTCATGATCGTTACACTACTTTTCAGATGAGTGAAGCACAGAAGCAGCTCTTAAACTGAGCTGGTTTAGAAAGCTGATAGTGTGTGTTCTCAACACACGACGTCACCTTATTGTTTTACCGGAGGTCATTTAAATGGAGTGGATCACTAATATGTTGTACTAAAATACCACCAATTCAGCATTTTACCTCATTAGTCTATGCGGGGGAAAAAGTTACGAATTTCTGTCGTGGAACTTTAAAAACTATCTTCTAAACCTCTAAAATATTAATTCCACAACATGGTTCTTTTCTAGGATTATTTACTGGGATTAACAGCTTTAGCAGCTAGCACGTGGGGCGCAACTGGAAATGATGTGTAGAAAACCAAAGTAGAAAATTTCGAAAGATTTAGTGAAAAGGTCATAGAGTTTTATCATGTCACCTAAAACCTTTTATTTACGATTAGCTTAAACTGCATTAGAAGCTAGCTATAGCACTCCCGGCGCAGCTTTAAATATGTTGTAGAAATGTTACAAACATGTTTTTAACACCTTACCTGTTGAAACCACCTCTGAACTTTGTTCCTGACAATTATTTGTTCTTCGCAGGGCTGCTAAAACCTTTGACTGTCTTCAAACGCTCTCATATCTACGCGACTGTACGCACTCCCCTAGCTACAGCGTTCCGTTTTAATGGGGGAGAGGGAGCGCTGACGCCCTCTAGTGGTGAAAAGCTTAAACTAAACTGACTGGTTCAGATATTTTACCCTCCTTTTCTCAGAAAAGTTGAAAAAATATCGTAATGTTTTTATGTCCTCTTGTGAATATCAACAAGGAATATAATGGGGAGAACGAGGAGAATACACCTATAAAGTTACCAAACTTAGAACACGTCCTGTAAATGGCCTGTATTTGGTATAGCGCCTTCTAGAGTCCTAGAACCCCCCAAGGTGCTTTACAACACAATCAGTCATTCACCCATTCACACACTGGTGGGGATGAGCTACAATATAGCCACAGCTGCCCTGGGGCACACTGACAGAGGCGAGGCTGCCGAGCACTGGCGCCACCGGTCCCTCCGACCACCACCAGCAGGCAACGTGTCTTGCCCAAGGACACAACAACAGCGACAGACTGAGCGGGATTCGAACCAGCAAAATTATAATTTTTAAATTAAAGGCCAAATGGTCTTCACTTTTACAAACTAATTAAACACAAACTAAAATATATTTCAATTATGTGTTTAATATGATTAAATCAACGAGCAGCTAGCTTGATGCTAATAACATCAGACCATACGCCCTCTGGCGGCCGCAGGTCGAAGCTACATCCACTGTAGACAAAGGGATTTCCCTCTACATTTAAGTAATTAACTGGCAATAAAAAATAAATATATTTAGTTACAGTATACGTTTGTTGTTTATAACCAAACAAGTCAGATATAAAACTATTAATTATCAGTTCAAAGACCTATAAATACTTTTACATCTAAAACAATCACAGCTTTCCTTGAAGAGTAATTTTTGTTTTAAACAGGAAAAGCACTTATATGTATTTGGATTTCACAATTAATGTATAAACTACCCAAATTAATAAAATAAAAACCTAAAACAAATTTGATAAAAAAAAAATACTGAAAGAGATCAAATGTTTGATCAACAGCTGACTTAAATTGATTAACTTGTTTAATCAGATAAATGAGACATTCAAATTAAATGCAATGTATTATAATTATACGTTTTAGAGGGCAAAATTGAAGATAAGTAAACTGTAACAACTACAACTTAAAATAACAAATGAAGGTAAAAGAAAAACATTTCCAAATCATTCTTAATAATAAAGTTTTAGTAACCTCCAAATAGATAATGGATATTTGTTAGAGCAGTATAACGCAAAAACAGACAATATTTAACTCCAAATGTAGGATTAGCTAAATGTATTTCTGTACGATCATGTCACCTGTATGTTATAAACACACTAATTTAAAAGTCATTATGTGACATATCTGCACTACAGGGAAAATAAATGTTTTTTTACACGTTTTATCCATTTATTTAATATATTTTTTAGGATGTTAGATGATGACAGAAGCGCTAATGACTAGCCTTTGTTAACCAACAGCAAACACGCTGCTTAGAACAATTCAAACAGCCAGAACTTTATTACGGTTTAGTGAAACGCTGTTTTATAAACTTTTAGTTTCACAAATCGTTTTTTTTTTAAGTTATTAGCAAGTTTACTTATCGGCGGCTAGTGGCACTTTTGGTGAAAGATGGCAACACCTCCCATAAAAGAATCGTGACAATCCTTGCAGATTAGGATGATAAGACGTTTCTTTTTTTTTTTTTGTTTAACATTTTTCATATCTGGACTCGTGTGATTCCTCTGTGGAGAAATAATTCACTACAGACCAGTAAATTTGAAGTGGAAGTTGGAACGACACTTGCACCCTGTAGCAGCGGACCCCAATACGTTTCAAATCTCTCTCACACACACACACACACACACACACCCTGGTAAACAAATGGGACACTGTCCTGAGTAAAAATACAGTCACAGAGAGAGTTGTGGTTGGAATTGTCCATCTTGATCAGCAGGTGACAGAAATGTTCTAAAACAAGCTTCCATCAAAACCCAAACAAAGCTGTAAACATTCAGAAAAATACTTTTAATCGACAATTTCGGCAAAACACAAAGAGAACATGCATGCAGGACACAACTACATCTCAGTCATCCAGAAGCTAAGTTTCCTGTCACCCCCGACCACACAGAGCGGCAACGCCCGGTGCCAGCTGAGGCCCGATCCGATTGTGGACGATCCAATCACCACGGGCTGCAACGACACGAGACATGCTTGTGAGCTTCATGAAACTGAAACGGGTCAGGATCTGAACTGTGAGAAGACTAGGGTTGTCACGGTAACCGCTGTAGCGGTAAACCCCGGTAATAAAGTTGACAAGAATAATAACCGTCTTGTTTTTAAAAAAAACTATATTATCTCGGTGGATTACCGTGACTGCGGTGTAGGCGCGGTGACCCTTACCAGCCACCGTATCATCTGCTGAAGTTGCCGGCGGCACATGCGCACTTTGTTGTTTACAACCAAAACTTTCCTGAAGCTAAAGCTGAAATAATGGCCAAAGGAGGAGACGGCAGCGCTCAGGACATTTATTATCCCTCAAAGAAGACAAAGTGGGAAGTACGGGCATTTTTGGGATATTTGAAGAATGCCGAGGGACAGCTGATAGAAGACGGCTATCCTGTTTGCAGCACGTGCAGAAAAAGTGTCTGTGAAAGGCAGCAACGCTTCAAATCTCATGACACATCTGCGTGACCATCACCCACAACTCTACAGTCAACGCAAGGCAAGCTAACGTTAGCGTTTTAGCTAAAATGCGTGATCCGAGGATTTGGGGTGAGGGAGAACGCAACGAGTCGCTATATAAAGCAGCCGCAGCGCTGTTACCTGCATTTAAAACGTGTCACGGACACCCCCATGTTGAAATGACGCTATGCATTACGGGGCTCCCAGGAGGGACACAAACCGAGGACAATATTTTCCTGATATAGGGTTTATTACTCAAGTAAGGGTAAAAAAGTATCTGATTAGAAGTCTACTTGAGTACTGAGTATCATCTGGTCTAATATTTTTAGAATGATGACATCAAACAGACAAAAAATAAGAAGTTATGGGTAAATATTGGTATTTTAAAGACTAAAGCGGAAAAATGTAAACAAATAAACAACATAATTACAAAATAACACATTTTAGGCAAAAATTTAGACACAAACCGAGGACAATATTTCCTGACATACAGGGTTTATTTAGCTGTCTGAAAATGTAACACGTTTAACAAAAATACCACGATAATACCAAAAACCGTGATAATTTTGGTCACAATAACCGCGAGGTTAAATTTTCACACCGTGACAACCCTAGAGAAGACTGCACCCACCTGAGGGTGGCCAAGATGGTGGATGAATACCTGCGTGTTGATTTTACCAGGAAGGCCGGTGGTTGCAAAGAGGTTCTCATTAGCAAGAGACCACCTTGAGAAAAGAGTGCATTTTTAACAACTGTTTAAGAAAACAGAAACAGAACGTTTATAGACTTACTTGAATAGTCGGGCTTTGTCTTTGTGGGCTGGCCGTTTCTCTTGAGGGTAACTGCAAACAACAACACATGAGGGGATGTATTCCACAACACGCATCAAGCAGCAAACCGCCTCTAACCTGGAGCGCGTTATGTCCCAGACGAGCCAGTCGGTGCCTGCCACGCCGCCGACTTTGATCGTGTTGGTGAGGCACCAGTCGGCAGACATCAGCGGTCCACAGTGTCCAGAGTCCAGTGACAGGATGGCCTGCTGGGTGACCAGGTCATAAAATCGAATCGTCCCCTTCTTCTCTGCCACCATTAACTGATGAAGATATGCCATCAGAACACAAAACTCTGGTGAATGGAAGCACTGAGTGGTGGAAACACATCAGGAACAACTTATAGAGAAGTAATGATCCGCTGGTCCTCTAAGAAGCGGTGCCATAATGAAAATAGATGAGTATGACAATGAGATGAAAACGAAAATAGAAACACAAATGAAAAAATAACGTTTGCGAAGAAGAAGAAAAGGGCTGGAGCACTCGCGTCTGCACCGTTTAAATATTCTTCTTTGACCCAAACGTTCCAGCCCTTTCCTTCTCAAACCGTTCTGCGTCCGTTTGTGGAAGCAGACCACGGCCGTTCCTTAGGTGAGATTTCGGTAACGCTTCCTTTTACAGTCCCCTAATTACTAAGTACTTACATGGTAATTACATAGTAAGTTTAAGTGTATTATTGTGTAATTCAAGTGTATAATTGTAAAAAAATGTAATTATTGTGTAAAGCAGTATTTACTGTATTTTACTGGTCTTGATTCGGAAAAGGGTAGAATGCCTTCTCCGGGTCAGGGATGAGGTCCTGCCCCAAGTGGAGGAGTTTAACTCATTCACTGCCAATGACGACTAAAGTCGTCATTTGCATTTTTTTTTACTGTTTGAGCATTGGAACAAGTCCCCGCGCTGATAGAACAAGCATCTCAGCCCTGAAGCCGATCTTCATCCGCATACGTCACAGATCACATGATCAGGAAGCAGACCATCCATGTGTTTGGAGATCGTTTTGGGCCGTTCCTGTAAAAAAAGTGAGGCGCGAACCGGAGAAGCATCTGCCGATCACAATTCAACAACGGATTATGAAAGAACGGATAACGCTCGAAACACACGGCTTCTTCCTGATGTAAGAGGTGAGTCTCCTCTTTGTTTTGGTTGTTTTGGCATCGACATCATGCTAGCGCGCAACGTTCTGTGACTCTTAAAAAAACAGTAAAAACGGTGAGAAACGCTGGCAGCGAAGGCCGTTAGCGATCAGGAAACGGCTTGCAGTGAATGAGTTAAGTATCTCGGGGTCTTGTTCACGAGTGAGGGAAAACTGGAGCGTGAGATCGATAGGCGGATTGGTGCTGCATCTGCAGTGATGCGGGCGTTGTACCGGTCTGTCGTGGTGAAGAGAGAGCTGAGTCAGAAGGCGAAGCTCTCGATTTACCGGTCGATCTACGTTCCTACTCTCACCTATGGTCATGAGCTTTGGGTAGTGACCGAAAGAACGAGATCGCGGATACAAGTGGCTGAAATGAGTTTTCTCAACAGAGTGGCTGGGCCCTCCCTTAGAGATAGGGTGAGAAGCTCGGTCATTCGGGAGGGGCTCAGAGTAGACCCGCTGCTCCTCCAAATCAAGAGGAGCCAGTTGAGGTGGTTCGGGCATCTGGTCAGGATGCCTCCTGGACACCTCCCTGGTGAGGTTTTCCAGGCACGTCCAACCGGGAGGAGACCTAAAGGTAGACCCAGGACACAGTGGAGGGACTATGTCTCTCACCTGGCCAGGGAACGCCTTGGGATTGCCCCGGAGGGGCTGGCCCAAGTGGCTGGGGAGAGGGAAGTCTGGGCCTCTCGCCTTAGGCAACCGCCCCCGCGACCCGACTCCGGATAAGCGGATGGATGGATGGATGGATGGATGGATGGATGGAATGATAAGCAACAAGGACTGAATAAGTCCCTCCTACCTTACAGATTTCCTCTGGATGCCAGCACACACTGACGCCCGGAGAGCGAAGTCGCAGAACACACGTCTCATTCCCTTCCAGGTCCCACAACCTGCCGACATGGATTCAGACACACGAGAAGTAAATCAGCTCTGCTTCTTTTTATTTGGAAGCTTAGGAAGACAAAGATGCCATCTATTTTATATACGTCTCTGGAATTTAGTAAAGATAAGCACTTGTATGATACAAGACATGCCTTAGAAGATGAATTTACATGACCAAAAGATCTGATGCTTTAAAGCATACAGCAATGTATGGAGGGATGTACGAGTGGAACCATCTCCCAAAAGAAATCTCACATATTAGGGGTAAAAATGTATTTGGAGTTAGATTAGAAGAACATTTGTGTTGTGTGTAGAAAGAGAACTTATTATTTAGATATTATTTAATTAAAAAAAATTTTTTAAAGGGTTAATTGTGTTGTGATATGGTATGAAAAGTAAGTGTATAATATAATGGAAGCCTTGGGATGGTAAAATTATATCTGTTAAGGTCATCAATGTTGATTTGGTGGGGTGGACTTGCTTCTGTATTTTTAGTGTTTTTATTTATTTATTTATGTCTTTTTATCTATTTGATGTAAACATTGTTTTTGAAGTTGTATGAATAGGTCCACAGGAAGAATAGCAGCAGCTCGCTGCAGCTAACGGGGTTCCTAAAACAATGAACAACATGAAAACGCTTTAGTTTGCATGATGATTACAGATTCTAGAGGCTATACGCCACATGGGGCGTTATTATGAAAAAAGCAGGAAGCAGGACTCATAATCGGTCATCTGAAGGATCGATTCGAGTTGATGTGTGAACTGCTTTTGGCTGGAAAGCCCCCCAAAAAATTTTGCTTGCTTTTAATTAATAAGAAAGGCAGGAATTTGGAGCAAACTACTAAAAATAGCATCCAACTTTGAAAACAGTTATGGCTATAATCCTTGACCTTGACTGTTTGAAACCAAATAAATCCTCTAATTCAAACACCACAAGTTTAATTACTACTTATTCCAACTTTAACAGCCCAGTAGAAAACATAACGGGCTTTAGGTTTGCACGACGCTGCAGGCGTTTGTTTTGTGTGTGACGACGACGATGATGTACAAACTTTGCTTTTCCAGGGAAAATCGTTCTCTTTCTCAGGAACTGGGGCCCTCAGCGGTGAGGACAGACAGACTCACTGGACTCCTCTCGCAGAGGAAACGCCAGCCTCACATTACATTGAACTACGACAGCAGGGGCAGCGTCCCCCCCCACCCCCCCACCCCGGTTCTGCAGAGAATTCTTCACCGTGGGCGGCCTGCTTGTGTCCAGAGAGCAAAACAGACGTCAGCAGAGGACGAGCACTGGGGAGAAGCTGAACAGCTTCCTACTTTACTAGAAGTAAAACAGAAATCCTAGCCTGATTAAAACAGCAGTAACGCCGACTTTAAAGTGGGATGCGTGACAGCAGAAGCAGCTCTGAGACGCCGCAGATGTCAAATGAAATTGGCTGCAGACAGATGTTGTTCTTGTAACCTGGATCTATGGTTAGCCACATCTTAACGGCCTCTGTACGAGAAGAAAAGGTCGGGATGGAGGTCATGGGAGCCTGCAAGTGTTACTGGGAATATAAGGCAAGCAGCTGCAAACAAGGTGCTGACTAATGAGGCAGCAAAACTTCCTCTAAAGACGATTTAAATGTGTGTGTTGTTGGAGAAAAGCCTATTACCCTTTGTTGCCTTGGATTTCTAACCAGGACATTCCTGTCTAAAACTCCCGGCTTCTTCCTCAGCAAGGGTGAGATGAAAACCGCCGTCAGGAAAACATAAACCGAACCGGATTCTGTCAGACCGCTCGCCGAGCAGAGCTCAGCTGCACGCCACACCCCCAAACGGCCAAACTGTGGTCAACCGCTCTGACCTGCAAACGAAGAGCGCCGGCTCCTCAGCCGACAGAGGTGAAAGGCACGCCACAAGCGTTCCACCACATCAAGCAACAACACAGAGGAGTTACGGTTTCTCGTAGGTAGAGGAAATGAGGGCGTCGGTTGGTGCCGCGTGGTTTCATCTCACCTGCAGGGGGCAAATCATCAAAGGTGGTGAAGGGGTCACATGGGTATAAACCCATTCATCACAGCTCTCTGGCTGGTCTTCATCAAACGCTTCAGGTTGCTGTGCAGACGTTAAAATACAGTTCTGCTCATTTTATTCACCCTTTTTGAAGAAAAGGGGGTGTTCCTCTTCTTAAAAGAGATGCAAACAGCTTCCTGGGTCCAAGCAGACAGGATACTTGATCAGAAACCGGGATGGATCCACAAAACATTTGAGCTTTTCTTTAAAAGGAACGTTATGGAAGTCTGACAGCCAAAACATGTATAGAAATAATAAATGTCTTCTTCATACATTCTCCTGCAATGCCCTGGTCCTGTAGAATGAGTCCTGGCATTTTTACTGTGATTGCCTGTTTTTCTGTAAAATCACAGAAAAAGAGAGATGCTCGGGTCGAGCAGGCTGCTTCATGAGCGTTCACGCTCAGGCATCGCCCGTAGCGTTTGCTATCCGTAGCTTTAGCAGCAGAGAGAGAGGCAGTGCCACTTTGTCGCTGTTCCTAACGCCTAGTGACAAAGCTAGCTACATTTCTGAGGACCCTTAGCTACTCCAGTCCTCCTGCATGCTCAGATCATTCCCTTCCCTTGCTTGAAAAATTGTTCCAAAATGAAAGTTGAACCCACATCTTTTTTATCTGTGAATGCAATGCCGTTCGGCGAGTCTCAAATAAAAATTTGGGCATCTTACTGTAAAAAAATATACTATTAATGTAAAAAATAAACTCTAAATGAACTATGTTCACATCCAGAATCGAACCCAGGACTTCTGCACAGGAGGCCGATGCCTTACTGGGTGAGCTAAAGCGCCAGTGACATCTTTTGTATCTGTAACATTTATATCCTTGATGACAGCTGAAACAACGTTCAAAGAACGGTTCGGAGCGAAAATGGCTATTTTGTTGCTAATTTGCAGGAAATATCTAGAAGAAAGTTCTACAGAAAGTAGCTAAGGGTCCTCAGAAATGTAGCTAGCTTTGTCACTAGGCGTTAGGAACAGCGACAAAGTGGCACTGCCTCTCTCTCTGCTGCTAGAGCTACTGATATCAAATGCTACGGGCGATGTCTGAGCGTGAACGCGCATGAAGCAGCCTGCTCGACCCGAGCATCTCTCTTTTTCTGTGATTTTACAGAAAAACAGACAATCACAGTAAAACTGCCAGGGCTCATTCTACAGGACCAGGGCATTGCAGGAGAATGTATGAAGAAGACATTTATTATTTCTATACATGTTTTGGCTGTCACACTTCCATAATGCCCCTTTAATGTGAACACCAAAAATAAATGTTGTTCAAATGAAACACAAATGTAAGTAGTTGATTTAATGGTCATAAGTAAGCCATGGGGTGAGGTACACGTGAGGTTTGGACCTCGTTATGAAAGAAATTTTAAGGACGGGACCTATTGGGTTTGAATTGATTACCACTGATCTATAGTGACCCACTGAGCTGTTTAGACTACAGCCTGAGGAAGTGGAGTCTGGTTCCCCGCCTAGATACTGCAGCATCAGGTTGCAGCAGAGGTCCCAACACTGCAGGGGACGGCGATGACAAAACTAAGCAAACTTATAGTGGAGGCCCTCCGGCCAAAGCCAACAGGCTGACGGAGAGGTCGTGAACCTACACATGCTGACATAACCCTCCCTCCTCTCAGATCAAGGCTCCGTTTGTGTGGGCTGACTCTCCTGTTAACCTGATCCATCCCTCGTTCCGCCCGTCTTCCTACCTCGTCCTGTATTTTCTCAGCATGACAGAATTTAAACCTTTCAGCAGATGGAGCGGGCTCCTGTTTTCTCTGGACAGTCGGCAGAGGGGCGGGAGGGGGTTCGGGAGCTGGGAGCGGAGGACGTTTATACGGCGTGATCACAGACGTGGACCGATCCTCGTGTCCGTCTAAATGTTTCATCATAAAAGATTATTAGCATTTTACAGATAAATGTGGAATTTCCACAACAAAAATGCAACCAAGATGCTTGCGTTTGCATTTTTCTGGCTCTGCTCGTGTTTATTGTTGACCATAAACCTCATCATCAGCTAACTGTGCATACATATCCTGACAAGTAAGGCAGGATTACTCGTTTTTAATCAGATGCCAGAGTGAATATTTAAATATTATAATTCCTACAGACACGTGCTGACAAGCATTTCTAAAGGATGCAAAATACTCAAAACAGGAAAGATGTGCACCAAGTTAGAATTGTTGAAGCATTTTGAACTAAAGGGTTCAAACCACTTCAGTACTTCTCTTCTTTGCTTCTGCAGAACCAGAGGTCATGCTAAGGAGATCATCCAACCACTGGATTCTGGGTTCTATTTTTACGAAACATGGATGTTCTTTTCATCTATATGCAGACGACACCCAGGTTTATATTCCCATTTAACGTGGCCTACCCAATTCTTTAGATCCTCTTCTAAACTGCCTCGATGAGGTTAAAACCTAGCCTAGTGAACTAGACCAAATTCTTGCTTTGCAAAGTTTGGTCTAGGCACGCTCCATTGGAACCTCAGCAGCTCCTACCAGGACTCTGGCTAGCCAATCACAGCTCTCTAGAGGGGTTTCAAACACATAAAGAGCTGTGATTGGTCCATAATGGTGGGCCAATCATAGTGCTCTATCTGCTTAGTGAACAAATCACAGAGCTTTATCCACTTTGTGGGTCAATCAGGGCACTCTGTATGCCTGGTGGGTGGGATGATGCAACAGAGGGAAACAAGAGTATGTCACATTTATTGTCCAGTGGAATGCGGAGATCATTTGAAAGACAACAGTAGAACCCGCCCCACAGCCAAGAGCCGTCAATGGAGCATGGCCAGACTAAATAATACATTTATTTAGTCTGGCTTGCCAGGCTAGTTAAAACCTGGATGTCTGCAAATTTTTTACATTTTAATAATGACAAGACTGAGGTCATGCTTTTTAGTCCTAGTGTGTCCAGTGGGCCATGTTCTGCTGACCTTGGTCCACTAGCCTATTTTTGAAACCAGTCTGGGAGTCCAGCTTGACAGTGATCTGCTTCTGGAAAAGCAAATCAGACAGTTTTTATCTGTTAAGGAGGATCGCCAAGGTTAAGCGTCTGCTCTCAAGTCATGACTCTGAGATGGTGATTCATGCGTTTATTACATCAACGCACTGTACCTTGGTCTTCCTCAGTCTCACCTCTCCCGTCTTCAAATGGTGCAAAATGCAGCAGCACGCCTATTGACGAGCTCGAGAAAGAGGGAGCACTATACCCCAATTTTAGCTTCGCTGCACTGGCTGCCTGTGGATTTTAGGGTCCAGTACAAGGTTCTTTTATTGGCTTTTAAAGCTGTACAAGGCCTTGCTCCGCAGTATCTGTGTGAAGTTTTAGTTACTCACTCCCCGTCTCAGTCACTGAGGTCAGCCGACCAGTTTTTCCTGGAGGTGCCGAGAACAAAGAGCAAGCTCAGGGGTGATGGAGCTCCAAGGTTGTGGAATGCACCCCCAATTCAGATTAGGATGGTTTCGTCACTGTCGGGTTTTAAATCACTTTTAAAGACTCATCTGTTCTCAGTTGCTTTTAATTCAGTTTGAGAATGCACCTGATTTTAGTAGCTTTTATGTCAGTTTGATATGTTTGTTTTTATCATGTTTTTACTTTGTGATGAACTTTTTATCTTATTTTTAGAGTTTTTAGGGAACTTCTGTTCTTTTTGGCTTGTTAAGTACTTTGGTCAGTTTTTATTTTGTTGTAAAGTGCTTTATCAATAAAGTTGACTTGACTTGGATCTAACGTCTGGGAAGAGCAACACCTAACAAGGAGCCGGACTTGACACCACTAGTTCAAAGAAACAGCAAATATGAATAAATAAGCACTAATGAGCAGCTAAAACCAGCACTGACCCTCACTGGTGACGCCATGTTTCACCTTTTCCAGCCTTAATTGAAAAGGAAAATTTAGGAATCCTTGTTAAGAGGGGGGAAAAAAAATCTCACTGCAGCTAATTGGATTTCCATATTTAACCAATTAGCAAGAGGAAGCTACAAAGCAGCTCTGTGCTTATGCACGGTCACACCGGACCGTGTTGTGCTTAGCGTCAAGTTTCACGGTGGAAACGCAGTCAGGTCTTTCTGCACCATTAACCAAAAACAGGACTGAAAATTAGAAGCTGGGAATGAACACGAACACACACACGCACACACACACACACACACAAAGAGAAATAAAATAGTTTGGACCTGCAAGTGTGATCATCACTGACGGAAGCGATTTGTTTCCCTTCTGTGGGCTCAAACACCAAATGGTTAATGTAGCTGGTGTGGCCCTCCATCGCCTAGGCAACAAATATGAGAAAACTACAGGTAAGGGAAAAAAAATTCCATTAAATTGGTAGATAAATGTTTTCTGCAAATGTTGCTTTGCTAAGTCTGCAGATCTGTTTCCTGCTAGACTTGATCGTGGAGACTCCTAATGACAAGCGAAGTTTCTGGCCAATGTGCTCCAGATGTTGCGCTACCTTGACTTCGTGCCGCTCCTGAAGATCAGAAGTCAGCAGGCGTAGTTTTCTGTCTGCTGCAGCGGTGCACAATCTGCAAAGAGAGGAAGAGGAAAAGAAAGGGGAGATTTAAAAATAAACAAAAGAGAGAACATAAAAACAGACTCGGTGACACACGACATCTTTCTGCACACACACCTGCAGCCGCCCGGGCTGACACCTCTGAGTCAGAGTCTGTGTGTGGCAGAAACTTGGACTGGGATCAGTGGAAACACTGCCAGGGATATTCTAATTGCAAGCAAAGATAAACACGGAGAAAAACAAGATCGCTCACGCCATGTACGCATGTCTTTGTTTGAAACCCTGTTCCGAGCCAGGGAGAGGACTTTCCCCTCTAATCAGTCCTCGTATACACCAGCGCCTGCAATTACTCACACAATTACACTAACTCACTTATGACAAGAAAAACACACACATATCACCAGAATAAACAGATAGCGGTTCACACATTTTCAGGCGCAGGCACAGATGGACTTGGCATGCTGTCACTACAAACACCCTCAACGTGGTTCAGGTTCTTGCTGCTGCAGCGGACTCGGTTTTACAGGGACCGGCTCGAAAACACTCCAACTCTATGGAGTTGTGTTTTATTTTTTTCTCTTTGTGAAGATGTCTCACTTCTCGCATAATAAAATAAATATACATATGAACCATACCATACCATACCATAGTTTATTTATATAGCACGTTTAAAACACAGTGTGGGAGCTGCTCACGGTGCTGCACAGGTTAAACCAAAACACAACCAATCCAAGCAACTAAAGCAGAAGATAAAAATACCGATCAAAAGCAGATAAAACATGAGGAATACTAAGATCACATCAAAACATTAACACAATAAAACACTAAAACGAGTCATTGTCTAAAAGCCACATCATAAAAGTGGGTCTTTAAAGGGACATTACGGAAGTGTGACAGCCAAAACATGTACAGAAATAATAAATGTCTTCTTCATACATTCTCCTGCAATGCCCTGGTCCTGTAGAATGAGCCCTGGCATTTTTACTGTGATTGCCTGTTTTTCTGTAAAATCACAGAAAAAGAGAGATGCTCGGGTCGAGCTGGGTGCTTCATGCGCGTTCACGCTCAGGCATAACCCGTAGCATTTGCTATCCGTAGCTTTAGCAGCAGAGAGAGAGGCAGTACCACTTTGTCGCTGTTCCTAACGCCTAGTGACAAAGCTAGCTACATTTCTGAGGACCCTTAGCTACTTTCTGTAGAACTTTCTTCTAGATATTTCCTGCAAATTAGCAACAAAGTAGCCATTTTCACTTTGAACCGTTCTTTGGTTTGACGTTGTTTCAGGTGTCATCAAGGATATAAAAGTTACAGATACTGTGAATTTCACGGGTGTGTAGCTCACCTTGTAAAACGTCTGACTCCCATTCAGAAGACCTGGGTTTGATTCTGGATGTGAACATAGTTCATTTTGAGTTTCTTTTTTACATTAATGGTATATTTTCTTACAGTAAGATGCCCACATTTTTATTTGAGACTTGCCGAACGGCATTGAATTCAGATAAAAAAGATGTGGGCTCAACTTTCATTTTGGAACAATTTTTCAAGCAAGGGAAGGGAATGATCTGAGCATGCAGGAGGACTGACCCATCATAAACCTTTGTCGGCTGTGCTGAAGAGAAAGCTACAGAACCAAATTATTCCATTAATTAGCGTTCTCCTGTCCTCTGTCCTCTGGGCCACACACACACACACACACACACACACACACACACACACGGGACTGTCTCAGCTGTTATTTTCGTTAAGGAGTGTGCACGTACAGCATGCGCACCTCGTGCACGAGCCTACTATTGAAGCTGCCGTTATGCTTTTGGCCTGAGGGGGCAATCGCGAGCATAAAAATTCAAAAGTCTGATAAGTCCCTTTAAATAAGATTTAAAAACAGCCAATGATAGAGCCTGCCAAACTCCAATGCACAACGAGTTCCACAGCTTTGGGGCAGCAGAGAACAAAGAACAATAACATAAACTCTTGCATTAGTAAATACAAGCTTTTTAGACCTAAAACGCGCCTTTCTAACAATGTATTTTTATTTGTTGTAGGAGCCAAAATTGTTTTGGTTTACATTATATTATGGTCTAAGTTCGTTGTGATAATGTCTCATATATATTTCAGTTTATTGCACTATGGTTTGTATTTCTTTTGACCACTGCTGGCACTGCGGAGCCTATATAGGTGTCAGGGTGGCAGTACTCTGGCGTTTTTGGGTGACGGGGGGAGATCACACGATTTTTACCGCTTCATTTGATTTCATTCCATAACTAATTTTCTGTTGTAATTTTCATCATTTTCATAACCTTGACAGGATATCGCTATTCTGGAACCTGCATAAATGTGATCGTCAACATCTTCAATAAACGGGATAGTAAACCCAAGCCCGCTTGCTGCCTGGACAATAGTGTTGAAGCGAGTCGTTGCCTCCACCCGCACCCAAGGGTGACTAAAAGTGGGAATGGATAGTCACTACATTTGAAACTGCAGAATTTGTGAAGTTTAAAACTGGATTTCTTTTGTACTGGTGTCCATCCCAAAGCTACTCGGGGCGCCGTGCCAGCCAAGGACATCACACTACGGCAACGCCACTCAGACAAACTACCGTGTGCCCCAACTGTTACCCAGCTGAAAACTAAAATCCATATCAGTTTCAACCAACACAAAGGCTCTAAAGCCCTAAGCAAACTGCAGAAGGTTCAAAATGCCGCGGCCAGATTTTTAACCAGCACCGACAGACGCATGCACATCACACCCATCCTTGCAGATTTACACTGGCACCAACATCCCACCCAACTGACTGATACAGTGCAGTGATTGAGCCACTACTGATCTTAGTCAACGGGGCAGTTTGCCATACTTTGAGGAGGAAGCTGGGAGGAAAACAAAATACATCGTTTTTGATTGGCCAGGAGCTGTGGAGATTCCAATCGAGTGTTGCTAGACCATCATGCAAAGCTATTTTTGCTTTGGCAAATGACGGTCTACATTCTAGGCTAGAAGAAACTGTCTTTGTCTGGCCTGACCTGGGTGTTGAAGAAAATGTCTCAGCATGAATCTGCAACTCAGAGTGACCGATTTTATTTACGTAATTAAATCAGTAATACAATCTTCTAATACAAGGGAAAATGCACAGTTTGGCTGGTTTTGTTAAAGGCTCCGTATCATGAAAACTCTACTTTTTTGAGCTTTTTACCATGTAATACCTTTTACTGAACTACTACAAATTACTGCTCTAACACACCTGATTTTATTCAGCAGGGGATAGTAAAGCTAGTTGGTGTAGTAAAGCTAGTGTCAACAGGCTTCTGCAGGACTTAAATGAGCTGCTGAACAGCTAATTCAGGCATTGAATCAGTTGTTTTGGAACTTAAACATGCTGGATAGAGACCATCCAGGACCAGGATTGGGCGACCCTGCCCTAGAAAGAATTGTGAGTCTGGGACTTAAGGTGTCGGCTCATCATGATAAATGATAAATGACCCGCACTTATATAGCGCCTCTCAGAGTAGGACTCCAAAGCGCTTTACACTACGGTGTATCATTCATCCATTCACACACTGATGGTGATGAGCAGAATTCTCTGTCCGGAGCTGGGATCGAACCTGCAACCTTAAGATTACTGCTGCCCCAAGATGAAAAGCAGACGCCTTAACCGCTGGACTACTGAGGCCAATACAGCAATGACTCGCCTAGACGCTGTTGTTTGTGCGTTTTGTTGGAGCAGATGTGGGCGGAGCTTCCCTGATGAAACGACTCTCTCAATTGTGCTAAAGGTAATTTTTTATATTGCACCTACCTTTGCTCTGAAAGGTTTAAAATAGCACGATCTGGCTCCTTTAAAGGAATGTCACTTGAAATATTTTGGTTTATAATTAATTGTGATCCAAGCACATCTTTGTGGTAGCAGAAGAACGCACAGATTTGGCTGATAATGGAATTTCTGCGCTATATTACGTATTTATAGGTTTGATGGGAACAGGTAGCTAAAAATGACGTAAAGTTGTGATTCTGAGGACACAGCTCAACATCTTTAAAAACCGTGTAATTGGCTGATCAGCGTCGATTCCGAGTTTCCTGAAAGTCATATCTGTGTCCAAGCTGAGATACAATCCTCAGACCATGAGCTGTACCCTGCATGGTTCGAGTCTAGCCTCAGGCCACTCATCCATGTCATCTTCACCTCTCTCCTCCTCATTTACTCTGCTCTTCAGTGTCAGCTCTCTAATAAAAGCCTGTTGTTTAGCATGTTGGCTTCCGTATTTAACAGATGACAGCCAAAGCTGAAAAATGAGTGTGTGTGTGGTGGAAGTCTGTGGTTTTAATAGTCTTCAGGCTTGTTTTCAATACAAGCTGCTGCGGTGGCAGCCAGAGCCCCCTCTCCTCTCATCAAGCCCGTGAGAACGTTGTACTTTTCCTGGAAGGAACAGCTACGTGCCGACTGAAAGGAGAGCTTGAACCTGAGTGGGTTCTCATCAGCGCAATAACATGTGCACACGTCACAAGTGTTGGCTTGAGTGTCCTGCGGAGTAAACCACAAAAGGCCAGGAATTATCGCTGCCTTTTCTTTTCAATTGCAGAAAGCCAAAACACCTCCAGAGCGAATGCAGATCCTTCCCATCTACTGCTCCAATTAGGCAGAAACTCTTTGCTTTCTAATAATCTCAAGTTGGGCTTATTCCCTTCTGTCTGAAGCCACCTGGCACAGCTTGGCTCAGATCCTGGAAGTGTGACAGCGAGAGATGCTGACGGTTCCTTCTACACAGCAGGATTGTGAGCTCTGTCAGGAAAATGATGCTGTTTTATTAAAAGTCAAAGATGTCAGGTTTCTGAGGCGGATGTGACGCCCTCTAATCCTACAACAACAGTCTGAAGACTCATTACATAATAAGAGGCTCCAGACAGATCATCACACACAACATTTATTTAAATAAAAGGAATCAGATAAGCCATGAAATATGTGAGGAGAGAAATGTAATCTTCTGCGCAAACAAGTCAAGGTTAGGTTAACATTTGTGAAGG